AAGGCGCTAAACTCGTTTAAACTGAGGGAACGTGTAGAGTTGGATGATGATTGTCAGAGTTTAATGCAATAAGAGCAATCCCTTTATCATTGCACGTATACAAATATTAGGATTCATCTTGTATTTTCCTACAGTATATGGTAGTTTATTTGCGTAGAGGCCGCTTCATTTCTACAGCAGGATTACGTTTTCTAGTTTTCTTCAAGACAAGACAACTACTCATCACATCTGAAGATCTGATCAGTAGGACTTGTGTTCCAGGCTCTCGACTCTACCGGTACTACGTAGTTATAAAAAAGATCAAAGAGAGTGTGGCTTTTTAAAGTCAAACTCCACCTTCAATCTAAATTCATACACACTGTTCTCATGATCAAAGACTCATCTCAGTACGCATAAACAACTCTCTAACAAAGTTTGAAGCCACAAAGTCAAAGCTCAAATGTGAGATACTAATAACTAAATATTCCACTTGCGTTATTTAAATTGCAAATGTAATGACCAAAGGGGGGAAATGCCGGTACTCACAGTAATAAACCCTGGGGGCAAGCATAGTGTTCTGATGATATTCTCAGATTATTATTGGGTTTTTGCACACACAACCATCTTGGCATCTCACTGTCTGTATTCAGAACTATTGTATCTGAAAGATTCAGCTCACAACTGTACACATGTGCAAAACACACACACACAGAGATTGGCTGATAGACTGATGCAGTGCCAGACCATCATGACACTTGGCCAAGAATGAAGGAGGACCACACACAAACACACTGACACACAGATGGTTTTAGAGCTCTATAATGTGATCACTGTGTCAACTCTAAGGGAACTGATCAAATATAAAGGACTGTGTCTGCTGTTTGCTTTATCTATGGTATGAAAACATGAGATTATGAGGTTTAGCACAGGAAAAACAAAATGTTGGATACTTACCATGTTATCAGAAATTAATTAAAGGTCCACTATTATACTGTTTTTCATCAATGTATTATAGGTCTCAGTTGTTGTAGCAATTTATCATTAAAGAGCCTGTGACACGGGTTTCATCCATCATCCAAACCCATCAATTTGAGTAAATATTGTCCCCTTGAAAACCGTTACTGAACTGATTTTGGATATTTGTACTTTGATAACCATTCATCTGCCCTTCAATGTTGACCATTTTCTGGATCTTCTCGGGGATTCTTCAAGTCCCGCCAAATTATGTGTGACGTCATTGCGGGCACAGTGCTCCAGCTGCACCGTTCAGGATCCCAGCATCTGCATGTAAACGCACGATGGCGCACACAGCAGCAAGCATGACAGCGATGACAGTTTAATTTTGAACGTGTCTGAGAGCTCATATGAGGCTGAAGGATCGGTTTATGTTGTATCTGTTAGAAGTTTAGGAATTAGGTGCGTCAATATGGGCGATAATACGGTCATGTAGCCAGTGGTGGACTGGGACTAAAAATCATCCCGGGACTCTCGACCGGCCCACTTCGGTACCGCTAGTAAATTGTCAACGGGGGGAGTGGGGGGGATGTGCTAGTGACTTATCCGACCGGCCCACTTCGGTACCAGCCCATCGGGATTCGTCCCGATGGCCAGTCCGCCACTGCACCCAGCCCAGCCCACGTAAACTGTCAACGGGGGGAGCCTCGCTGCGGGGAAACGGTGGACCTAGTGTCCCGATCGGAGTGGGAATAATAATAATAATAATAATCCGTGCATTTTATCCATTAATTTCCCCAACATTGTGGTGAAAAAACCACACGTTTAATCCATGTTGGTGTACTACAACTACAAAAAGCATCGGTTTGTTTTCTCATCAGGAAATGCAGACCGGCTCAAACAAACGATTTTTAAATCATCATCCTCACGATCATTTAATGTATCATATGTTCACCGAATTGACATGAAAGCACTAATAAATGTAGTTTAATCCACTTGAGTTTACAACTACAAAAATAATCTATTTGTTTTTATATCACATCCCACGGGAGGAAATTCAGCAGCTCCGATTTTAATCCTAATTTAATCATCTTCACCACGATCATTTATGTTCGCCGAATTGACATGAAAGCACTGACAAATATGAATATACTGTAGTCAACTTCATTAAAACATTATTAACGTGCCTAAACTCAGTAATTCAAAATTTATACGCATGACAACACACTTTGTCCGTGTTTGGCTCTCTCGCTGCACAGTGAAGCGTTCCGGCATTGACGTCACTTCCGGCTTCCCCCAAAACTTCAAAATGAGTCGGAGGAATTTCCCCGCGATGTTCGAAATTATTGATATTTATCGGAACGGTATCGCACCTTCTTTTTTAAACTGACGGTTCAAGATGACTAGTAGCCCAATATTTCATTGCACCACTGTCACAGGCTCTTTAAGTCTAATTTAATCATAAGTATAAATAATAATAATAATGCATTACATTTTTTATTAGAGCGCTTTTACAGGTGCTCAAAGCGCTTTACAAGTACACATTACACATATTAGACATGTAAGAGTCATTACTGCGGACATTACCCACAGGAGCAAATGCGGGTAAAGTGTCTTGCCCAAGGACACAACGGCCTTACGCAGTGGCGGCCGAGGCGGGATTTCACCAACGCCCCTTGATCTGATGACCAACGCTCTAACCACTGCGTCAAAACCGCCCCATATTACTGTAACTTAATTATCTGTTTATTTCCCACGGATTGAATTCACATCTAGCCTCTAATTTCATCTTTCTTAGAACAAACCAAAGTCTGTCTCGACAACCATTGGTTTGTAATTAACATGTATGTAAAGTTTCAACCGTCTGGTCCAGTGGCGGCGCTAGGGGGTGGCTACTTGGGCTCAAGCCCCAGATGTTTTCTGAAAAGTCCCGGATGTTTCACTTAAAAAAAAAAAATTAAAAAAAATTATTTTTTAAAAACGTTTCGGGAGTAATGTGCAGTACCGGAGTCCACCAGAGAGGCAGCCACTGTGGGACATGAGCCTGCGTACTGCGTAGCCTGCCCTGAAGAAGAAGTGATCCTTCCTAGTGCCTGACGAGTTTTAAGCTAATAGCCTATACAGTTACAGTATGGATATTAGAAAGTTATTGTCATCAAAGCAGGCCACAAGCTGCAGCAGCAGCAGTATCAGCAGCAGCAGTATCAGCAGCTGACAACAATGTCATCACCAGCAGTCAAGAAATGGATGATGTTTCAGGTTTGTTAATCTAATGGTGATATCTGCACTCTGGCTGACTGAGTAAGAAGTGAAAAAGAGTGATGTAACGTTAATGTTATAGCTAGTAAACATGGAGTAACCACACTAAGTATACCCTTATATGTTAGTATGTATACAGAACATGACTAAAAATTATCCTAAGATGTAACGTTAACCCTTCATAACTCAGTCTACTTTTAAGACACTAAAATAACGTATTCCAATTTTTATTTTGTTTTCACGCGTGGAATTATACCAGCTCTCGTTTCAGTACACATAACAACAGAACTGACAGGCAACCCTCTGAATCAGACTCCGATTGGCTGTGACTGCATCCACTCAGAGTGTCCGATTTAGAAACGTGACTCTTACGGCCCGTCCACACAGCGGCGTGCGTTGAAGCTCCCAACGCTTCTGCCCATTCACTTTGAATGGGGTGACGTCACTTTTAGCTGAACTGCATCGTGGGAAGCGGAGCGTTGCTGGCGTGGCTCGCTGAAAAAGTTGAGCAATGCTCAACTTTTGACGCCTCGGCAGAAGCGTCAGCCAATCGAATCATATGCCAGTACAAGCTCTAGCCAATCAAACCGCTGCTTGTGTGTCAGGGGCGGGAGATTCATGTGATTGGTTGTTGGTCGAGTGTCAGACACGCCCGCCGGCAAGCGTCAACGCACGCCGCTGTGTGGACGGGCCGTTACACTCTTTACGTCACAAACAAAGATGGTGGATGAGAATAGATCTATAAAACGATAAGCAATGCGCCAGAATCAAGGTGAGACTATCCGCATCCTTTAAAACTCTACGCACATTCGTTTCACCTTAATAAGTAAACGACTATTTGAGTGAGTTAAGGCATTAGTTTGCTTCATTAAAGGGTGTTAATGAGTGTTCTCCAGTGCCTTTTGTCCGCTTTAAGGTGTTATTAAGGTAGGGTTAATGTTGCTCTCAAAGTGCACCAGATTGATGCTTTCAACTTCAATATTTAAAAAAAAATCTTCCCGGGGGAGCATGCCCCCGGACCCCCGAGAGGAGGCGACGACCCCCCTAAAGGATGTTCGGTCCACCCCCCTTCCCTCCTTCTGTAGTGTATAAAGTATTTGTATTTTCTTTGAATGTGGTCAGATCTTGTACTAACTTCTTGGTGCAAGACTCTGTCCTTTCAGCTGAAATAGATGAACTCTGTTAAATGCTTTTTGACTTTATTAAATAACACAACTTTGCTTTAAACTTCTATTGTTTGTTCGTGTCTTGCCAACCAGGTTGTTTCTGTTTTTAAAGTGGAATTTCCTCCACATCAGTTATATACAAACACGTCTCTGAAGTGGTTGGCTCGAAATACCAAACAGATCATTGTACCATCCCATAATCCCCTGTTTCAGCCCTGTTTCAAAAGTGCTGATTCTCTGTCTGTTACTTTAGATGAAAATAAGGAGCCACTCCCCACGCCCCTCTGAGAGATATTTGGTTAAAAAGAACACAATGGTGCTCTAGGAGGAGATTCAGGTGATAAGGTGGGGGGGGGGGGGGGAGGGGGGGGGGGGGTTACATTGGTTGGTGATTGGCTAATGGTTACACAAGCCAAAAAAAATTGTTATGACATCATAAAGTGGCCAAAATCTGATCAGCCCATTTTCAGACTTTTTTCCTGAAACTTTCAGAATGTCTTTGCACAGAGGGGACACATGTTTATGTATAAAATACATACATGGATTTTGCATAATAGGTGACCTTTAAACATTTTGCTGATAGATTCAGATCAAACACCATTACATGTTATACTTTGGGTAAAGCTCAAATGCTCACTGTACCTGAGTGCATCTTCTAGTTTGGATATTTTCCTCTTAGCCTCTGCTCTCTCTTTCTCTGCTTCAGTTTGGATTGCCAAAACCTGAGGGAGAGAGAGTAAATGCAAGAGAGAGAGAGAGAGAGAGAGAGAGAGAGAGAGAGAGAGAGAGAGAGAGAGAGAGAGAGAGAGAGAGAGAGAGGTGTAAGTGAGTGCAAAAGCAGACGCCATCAAACATCACTCGACAAAACTCTCCTGCATGTGACCTTGTGCATCTGGCCTCGTCTCTTCTCTCTATCACCCCATCAAAAGAACCATCTGACTATCTGCCTGCATAGAGGGCCTCTCACTGTGGATCTGTGGCAGCCATATGGACCCTTCTTATGTCCAGATACCGTTCCCTGGCCTCCTCCACATGTCTCATTTACTACTGCAGAGGAGTGGAAAAATAAATCTTTCTAGGGGGAAAAGGAAAAAGAACTGACTCCTCTTTCTTTTTGTTTACATCTACTGTCACCGTCCAGAGGGAAGAAAGTAAAAAAAAAAGATACAGACTTGTTACAAGGACAGGATAAAAAACAGACTGTATTTGAGGAAAACATCAAAAGCAAAACTGACTTTCTTTCCGAGAAACTTAATTTAAATTCTCCCTGACCCTGAATGGAGTGCACAGAGGCCTGCTAAGTTCTTGCAGGTGTATCAGCCAGAGGGGCCCTGTCTCTGGGTATGCCAGCCTGCCACAAGCACACACATTATAACTCTGGCACTTTGAAGATGACCCAGGTGCAGTAGGTCTTTAAAACCCGACTTTCACCTATGAAGTCTGGCTTGGACCGGTCCAGCTCAGATCATTAACAATGGTCTCTTCACTCTATGGTTTACAGCTGCTATGTGGCTTTGAAGAAAAGTCTCAATAGTAAAAGGCAATTAAGTTAAGGCCCTGGCAAACTGACAGTACTATCTTCACACAGAAAAGTGGAACTTGTGAAGGTCCTCTTTTGCCGAGTGACTACAAGTTTATAAGGATTTGCTCATAATTCTCAACTTCCTTTGCTTGATAACTCTAATGCTAAATTATACATTTTCCATCATCCTCTTTCTTCTCTGCCCAGTCCTTCATCTACCTGTTAATCACGGCTCTGATTTTACGAGACCAGACATAAGATCTAAAAGTAAGGGGAACCACAAAGGAACATGTGACACCGGGCTTTGATCTCCACTTGACCGTAATAACTTTGTCCAGGGCTGTTTTAATGCAACGACAAAAGCTATGGAGCTCAGTGGATGGGTTTCCCTGGAGAACACGCTACCTTTTTCTCACAGTTGATCTGCTCTTCATCTTTTTCCCGCTGAAACTCCGTCTCTTGATCCTGAAAAATAAGCAATAGTTGAAACGATGCTGTGTGGCAAAGGAAAACTGCATCACTTCACACAAAGGCAAGCCCTGTGTAACCCGAAGCATTGTCGTAGCTTATACTGCTAGTGTGCAAAAGCAAATGCAAGTTTATTTTTAGGCAGGTGCACCTTGAACACATTTGAACAAGCCTGCCAACACCCAAATCCTACCCTGGCTTGTTGGAGTCTTCGGTGTTCACTGTCCAGGAGCTGCTGTTTGAGTAGAGCTACAGTGTTCTCAAAGTCGTCCATCAACTCAGAGGCCTGGACGAGAGAAACAGAGAGGAAGTTGGCAATAAATGCAGGTGAATTTAGAACAATTATGTGTACATTTAGCAGGCTTGTGGAGGTGTTTGGGTGAATGTGGACCTTGGCAGCAGACAGAGCATGTTCCTGATGCAAGTGGCACATGTCAGTCTCATTTTTGGCTTGGAGCTTCTGTACAGTTAGCTCATGCCGCTCCCTCTGCTGCTCCTTCTCCTTCAGCAAAATCAAATTCCTGTGGACAGTTAAAGAGCATGACTATTAACAAGTACAAATAAAAAAATACACTTTACCACCCTGTTGCTTTAGTTTTATACGGCACATTTAAACGTTTTCTTGCCACTTTACAGGCATCTTGATAGTAACATGTTATTTGTTAAGCAGACATTTATTAATAATTTGTTTCATGACCTAGTTATGTAGAGTTAGCACATACATAGTTTTGAATAGCATACTCTTTTAAAAGGTCACCTACTATGCAAAATCCACTTTGTCATTTTTTCCCAGTTTCCCCTCTGTGTAAAGAGATTCTGAAAGTTTCAGTAAAAAATATTCGCTCACTTTTTGTCCTGATCCATTTATATTAAAAACCTGTCTGAAAATGAGCTGATCAGATGTTGCCCACTTTGTGATGTCATACATTTTTTTTGGCTTGTGTAACCATTAGCCAATCACCAACCAAGGTAACACCCGTCCACCTTATCACCTGAATTTCCTCCTAGAGCACCATTGTGTTTTCTTTTCGAATCAGAATCAGCACCTTTGAAACAGGGCTGAAACAGAGGGGTTTATGGGATTCTTGGGATCTGTTTGGTATTTCGAGCCAAACACTTCAGAGACATGTTTTGTATATATCTGAGACCTATAATAAATAGATGAAAAACAGTATAATAGGGGACCTTTAACCATTAGACATCTCTACCCCTTTCATCATTCATGTTTTCACAAACCGTCTGTTGGCCTCCTGTAGTTCGGCGCCCATGGATGCAATTTGAATCTCCAACTGGGCCTTCTCCTGTGTCACCCTCTGACGCAGCGCACTGCCCTTCTCCACCTCCACCGACTGCTGTTTCACCCGCAGCTCCAGCTCACGCACCGTTTGCTCCTGAACAACAAGCGTACACAGGAATCACTCACCCAAACAGCTTGAATCACTGAGGGCACTAGCCTGAGAAAATGTCATGGGTCAGAGGACTGCAGGCCCCCAGAGTGAAGCCAAACCGAAATCGGCTGATAGGGAAGAATGTGGCTGTCCACCTCTGTGACTTCAGCCTTGATTGTTCAACATACTCATTTTGTATATCCTTATTTGAAGTTCAAAGTTGCACTCAAGCTAACGTTGGACTTAAAATAGACCGTTCTGCACTGTTATTCTCCAAAGCTCTCAGCTCAGAGTCATCAAAAACAAAAACATCTTATCTATACAAACTGTTCCAAAGGTCGAACCAGCAGAAAGCCTTTCGCAGGGAGAGATCTTATCAAGTGAAAATATTTCTTCCAGTCTACAAAAGCTTAACTACAGACATTTTTTATGTCAACTGTAGTGCCTTTTGAAAATATAGAGCTGTAACTCCAAGCTAATATTTCCCCTGTCAATGTGTATATTCATCATATTAATATATTCAAACTATAATACGATTAATCAACTGCTTCTGGCTTCTTCTGGCGCAGTGGAGAAATGTTTTGATCGGCAGGTCCCTGTGCTGTTTGTAACTTAAAATATTCACAGTCAGGAATGAGCTTCAACGCAATTTAAAACTCGTAATGTACCAAACAAACTCAGTTTATCTTTGTGTTTTGAAACAGAAAACCGAGCAATCTTACTAATCCTACGTGTTCAAGCTGAAATATTATTGGCAAATGTAAAAAGCTTAATCAAAATGTAGATTTTCAATAAAGACAATGATCAAAGTGCAGCAGCTGATGCAGGTAGCTTTCTCTGGCACCGATCTGATGAAAACAAACGTCCCCTTCTTACATACTGTCCCCCAGCTTGTGCACGTGTGAGTGTGTGTGTGTGTGTGTGTGTGTGTGTGTGTGTGTGTGTGTGTGTGTGTGTGTGTGTGTGTGTGTGTGTGTGTGTGGAATGCAGTGTGGGCCGGCTGATAAAGGCGCTGACGGGACGCTGATTAAAGATGGAGCGTGCTAGTCAATCTAGCCGATGACAGGAGGGGAGAGGAGGGAGCCGTGTGTTTGAACAGAGGACAGGAGCACCGCCCGGAGAGGCCGCTTGGACAGATTTGTGTCTTTGTGTTCGTAGCGTAGCGCGCTAAGAAAAGGAACAAGGGGCCTGTGTTGTGCTGGGACGCGTGCTGACACTTTAGAGAGGTGCTTCTTCTCATCTCCTGCCAGAGAGGCTGCACCGGGCACACCTGGACACACTCAGAGGGAGCACATTACGTCCCATAATTAGGTGTTTCAGAAAGGGAATTACAAGGTGTGAAGAGCAGACTACACAAGCTACGTTATGAGTTCTGCTCCCCTCCAGAGATTAAGATGTGATAAAGTCTTTGAAGATGGGATAAAAACCTGTAATTTGTACCGAAAAAAATTCATACAGAGTGATGGATGACCTTTTTACAGTTTTTGTATCACAACTGAGGCCAGCAGATGGGAGACAGCCTGCATCAATCATGTCCTGCGGCCAGTCAGGCTGTGTGTGTGAATGCATGTTGTCAAACCCTTGTGTAGGAGTGAGAGCAGCTGGGGGAGGGTCCGACAGAAGAAAGGGAATCAGGTACACTGTGGACTTGTGGAACCGGTGTCAAACAAATACTGCAAGTTTGTTTACCCCTGCTTCACTAGGAATATTACTGTGGATGCACAGATAGGTTTTTCTTTAAGGCTCATACCCCACTAAGACATTATGGACCTAAAAGGGCTATTTTGGATTGCTTGAAGTGGGGTTGTATGAGATCGGGTTGGGCGATATGAAGAAAATCACATATCACAATATCTTTGACCAAATATCTCAATTTCAATATTGTGAAGTAGGGATGGGAATTTGAAAGCAAAAGTATATTCGAATATTCGACCCCCCAAAAAACGGTTAACCGGTTAACCGAAATTTACATATCCTATTACCCAATTTTTTTTCAGTAATTTTTGGAAACAAATACATACATGTTCAAATAAGTGTAGAAACCAAGTCAAATTTGTCAAATGTATTGAACTGGTGATCACAGTTTGACAGCTATAGGCCTACAGCTTTCATGTGCGGGATTCACAATCAGCCCAGCTGTAGAGAAGACCCTCTCAGCTGGAACGGAGGTTGCGGGTATAGCAAGGTATAGCATGTATATATAAGTTTAATTTGGCATAGTTTGACCTCTACACCGCACTCACTAACCTGGTCGAAATATTTCCACACATTACTCCTTTTTGACGCCATGTCTGTTGTGTAGGACTCTTCTTAGAGTGTAAATAATTACCCGACTATGACTGGTAAAATATGTTGAATACCGGCAAAAATCTCTCCAGTCAAAATGTCTATGTACTTTGCCGCCACACACGGTTGCCAAGCAGCGCTTATTGTTGTTTAGGCTGGCCACTCATGTGTTGCGAGTGTTGACAGGGGGCGGGGGAGCACGCTCATGAACCTCACAATGGCTACGGAGCGCATTTGCGCCACATTTGGGCCTAAGATGAGGTTTGAGTCTGCGTGATTTGCGTGTAGGGAGGGGCAGCAGCTATATCATTGGCTAGAACTAGCTAGATCTGATGGATTTGGACATAAACACGAGTGAAGTATAACCGGACGTGAGAGAGAGAGATCAGCACCTGCAGCTCTGCCCGCTGTGAGGGACCGGTGAGCGGAGCAAAACACACCTTTAGATGTCAACTAACCCATTTAGCTATGGCACTGTCGTATATATATACTTTGAATTATTCAATTTGATAATATGTAATCAACTTAGGCATCTCTCCCTCCCAAAAAAAAGAAAAGATATTCATAACTCATATTCGAATACATGAATAATTTCAAATATTCGAATATTCGATTAATCGTTCCCATCCCTATTGTGAAGATGTTGGAAGGTTGATCATCGGTGCTTTCACACAATATTTAACCATTAGGAATGTGGATAAATAATAATTTGTATAAGGTTTTGCAAGTGAGATTGGGAAAATAATAGAACAACTGGAAACAATATGGTAAGTTCAGAAAATAACATCACTACCCTGTTATGCAGCCTTTAAAACCAGGAAAGACTTAAGTGTAAGCTATATTTACAATATTTTCACAATTTACCAACTTTTTTGGCGGTGGCTGAACATAGGTTTTGCTGCCACCCCATCATTACACAGAACTATAGTAACTACAGCCTCCCAGTACATATCCGGACTGCTGAGTATATTGGACCTTTTAAATCTCAGCTAAAAACCCACCTCTTTGCACTGGCTTTTAATGCTAGTTGAACATTACACTTTTACATTTGTATGTGTTTTTATATATTTCTAGTTATTGTGCTTTTTATCATGTTTTTAATTATTATTGTATTATTGTACTCCCATTGTGTTATTTTATATTGTATGTATTGCCTGTACAGCACTTTGGTCAACTGAGGTTGTTTTAAATGTGTTATATAAATAAATAAAGATTGATTGAGATTTAGGCGGGAATCCCATCTGCTTCACCAAACTGGGGCTAGGCCACCTACCATCTACTGTATAGGTAATACACTGACTCTGGATAAGTATGTCTATACACCAAAACAAATTAATTCAAATCTGGAACAATGTTAAAGTAATGTCAAAACACACTCATAGCAACAGAAGATAACATATCAGCAGTACAAAGAAAGGGATATTCCTACCAGTTGGTCTCTATCTCCATTATTAATCATTTGTACATGGACTACAGTCAGAGTGTGTATGGAGCAATACCTAAGCAGATACCGGCTTGTCTCTCTTTTCAAACACCCACTCAATCACTTTGTCGGCTCTGCCCTGTGCATAGATAACGTCCAAAAATAACAACATCTGACATATTCGTAAGCACCATGAAAGATCTTTGATCTGCGTTGGATCCGACGCAGGTAGCGCCTGGCAGATGGACATTCCTCATTTTGCTGTAATTAAACCAGATCCAGTACGCAGTTTTTGAATGAACATGAATCATCAATCTGAGTTTGTCTTGGCCTGCATACTTTACATGTGAACTTTTCACATTGTGTCCGGGGTTTGAACTGAAGAAGAGGAGTCGCAGTGGCTTAAAACAAATGGGCATACTGTAGAGCAGGGGTGTCAAACTAGTCGAGGGCCGGACTGGTTCAATGTTTATTGCAAAACGTATTGAAATGAACTTATTGCAAATATTAAACTTGGAACTATCAAAGCTTAAATTATTGCCTATAAAAACAACATTAAACTTTAAATAATCAGTTGCATTAATTTCTTATGGCTCTATCTGCAGCTTTTCCAGAGTCATTTCTAATGATTATATTTTTCCACAGGCCAACAACAGCTTCAAAAAAACTATTTCCCTCAAAGAAAAAACCAAACATGCCCTGTTGTCGCAAGAAAAAACGTGCAGAAGGAAACATCCATGTAAACTCAGTGTGCTGCTCTGTGATGCTATTCAGATACTTGGCATCTCATCTTGGGTGCAAGTTTATTAATGTTTGGGGTCAGGCTCTGAGCTGAGGAAATCCTCAGGATTGAGTGAAGGTGTGCGTGCAATATACCGGCGGGCCAGATCTAATAGTAATTAGAAATTATAATGCGGGCCGAAATTAAATCCACCAAGGGCCTGATTTGGCCCCCGGGCCTTGAGTTTGACATGTGCTGTAGAGTATCAAATGCACAAACCACAAGCTCAAAGCTACTGAAGCTACAGGTCAACGTCGGGGAGTGAATATTCTACGAGCACAAAATGTCTGCAATTTAGATAAGCTTGTATTTTGTTGAATATCTTAAAGGTTTTATATAACCATCAAGTAAACAGAGCAAGACGGAACATTTCACAAAGAACACAAGTTAATAATATTGAGTTCTAAAGTTTTTAGCTTTGGGACACCAACTATGAAACAAAGGTGCTGTAACCACTAACCTGAGTTCTCTTTGAAGCTCCTTCACAAGGCACATGTGTGTCTGTGTGTAGGGCAGCCAAAACTCACAGCAGCTCATTTAAAATGACAGAAAGCTCTTTTGATTCTCTTATTAGACGAGGGGCCTTACCACCGGCCCTGCACTGTCCAGCGTTTGATGCCTCTTAAATGTGGGCCTGCTGACAGATTAGGGCCAGAAGCAATATGTGTGTGTGTGTGTGTGTGTGTGCGTGTGTGTGTGTGTGGTGTGTGTGTGTGTGTGGTGTGTGTGTGTGTGTGTGTGTGTGTGTGTGTGTGTGTGTGTGTGTGTGTGTGTGTGTGTGTGTGTGTGTGTGTGTGTGTGTGTGTGTGTGTGTGTGTGTGTGTGTGTGTGTGTGTGTGTGCAGGGTATATGCAGGAATCCTAAAGTCAGATGTAATACCTTTTAAGACCTTTTTTAAGACCCTTTCCATACATTTTAAGACCTCTTTGCCACTTGGAGTTTTAACCGGTTACATTGGCGACACACTTTACCTCACATGTACTATATACAGTATGGATTGTCCTTCCTCCTTATCTTCCAACCATTTGGACACACACTTGCATTTCCCCAAAACGATGTTGTTTAACAACCGGCGTAAACGGACCTTCGCGCGCTATCAAGCAGTGAGCGTGCGATGTCCTGTTCAGATGACGTCAAATCCAACGGGATGCCATAAATAAACTACAGAATCACACTACACACCTACGCAATGATTACATTCAGGCAGACTGTAGAATACAACCTCTTTGGACAATTTATATACTTATTGAAAACAAGATACAAAATGTAATACCTTGGAAAATGCCGTTTAATACTTTTTAATAGCCTTCATTTTCGCTAAATTGATTTATCAACTTTGAATACTTTTTAAGACCCCGCGGACACCCTGGTCTGTGTGTGTGTGTGTGAAAGGTATGAGAATGCTAACAATACTATTTATGAAGCGGTGTACTCCACTGGCCTCTGGTGTTGATGATCCCTTATTAATGTAATGCGCACGATCCCAATTAAAACCAAAGTCATTATATAAACCATCAAAGAAACTGTAGCTTTTGGAGATGTGTGTGTAGGTATGGGTGCAAGAGTTAATACACACTTTGATCAAAAACCTTTGTAAAGACGACAGAGGAAAGATATCAGAGTCACTCCCACCCAGAGGTTACAGGAAGTCCCCTTCATTTGAGCCATGGAGTTGCCATGGGTGACCGTGATATATGACAGATATTGTATACACTTTCCTGAGAGCTAAACAAGGCAAGAGCTTCATGCAGAAATACACCCGTCTCATCACCCAGAATCCTGTTTGTTCCAGTGAAAGCTGGCGTAGGATATATATAATCTGCCCACATGTGTCTGAACGCTTGAATCTCCTGCTGCTGTTGAAGATGAATCTCCTAAAGCTGCTCTCATGCTCATGGAATAAACACAAGTATACCAATCCAGATTAAACCGTGTTACATGAGGTCACTTTGGGTAACCATGTTAAGACTTGACACCATTTGGAATCAACTATAACGTTTTTTGTATACATCAAACGGCTGTAAATAAAACAACTTGCTGACAGAACTCGGGTTTGTTGGCACGTCAACACGCCTGTTCTTGTACTCACGGTCGCCTGTGCCCTCGCGTTATACTCGGCCTCCATCTTAGCCAGCCTCAGGTTGGTGTCCTCCAGCAGCTCCTGGATGTTGTCGGTGTGTTTCTTCTGCAATTCAAACTTCTCCTGCTCCATCTGTGTCACAGCAGCATGCAGCTGGAAGGGCCCAGATTAAATGCACATCAGCCACAGATCTTTCTCCCTGGGATTACTTTGCGTTATTTATATTCATCATCTTCTCTTTCATAATTTCCCCTTTAAAAATCGTTTTCTTTGGGCATTGCTTATTCAAGGGGAATATACACCATTTATACGGCCAAGTAGTTTCTTTATTATTACATCTGAGACAAATTGCTGCTCGTCACATGCTCAGTGAACCTGAAGAGGTGAGTGGAAATTTCATTAGGATCTTATTGAGCTCTAACGGCTCCGTTAGCGAAAGCCATCAGGAGTGAAAACACAATTTACCCAGGGCAGAGAGCTTTAATTTTTCAGCACAAAAAAACAAACACTAACTTAAGCACAGCATGAAAGAATAAAGATTTTTTTTCTAACAGTGCAGCAGAGCCTGACTGCTTCCAGCCAAGTCTGCTAGTCTCATGCTATCAAACAGTCTTCCTGTGGCTCAGGGCTGCTTACAAGGGGTTGGGCTGCAGAATAGCCAAACCCTTCAACTTCTCCCTCGTACCTTCTTCTCCCACTCGTTTTTCAGGGAGTCGCTGCTCTGATCCGACATGTTCTTCAGCTCAGCGATCTGCTTCTCCTTGCTCTCACAGATGACCTGGGATTCCCGCAGCACACTTTGAACTTTGGAGAAGCACATACGCAAACACATAGAGAGCAGTCAGGCCCTGCCTCGGAGGGTGTGCACAGTGGGACACACACACACACACACACACACACACACACACACACACACACACACACACACACACACACACACACACACACACACACACACACACACACACACACACACACACACACACACACACACACACACACCACACACACACACACACACACACACACACACACACACACACACACACACACACACACACACACACACACACACACACACACACACACACACAGTCAGTGAATCAAAGTCAATAAAGATATCGCTTATAGCAAACGGCCAGTAGCACTTCTCTTCTCCAAGTCTATATGTTTTTCTTCAAATGCTTTTAGAGATACACGAGGAGGCGAAGAGTAAAAGAGGAATATAGAATCAAGGTGGACATTGTGCAATTAAAGTTAAGGTTGAGCAGCTGGAGAACATCACTCTACACCGGTGCATTGAGCAGTGCATTGTATCTATCTCTGAGTGTTCAGAGACGCCAGTATAAACATCCTTCCAGTTAACCCTACACTCCTGCGTCCCCTCACCTTTCTTCTCCAGCTTACGGATCATCTCCTCGGATTCCCTCTGCTTAGCCCGGTACATGCTCTTCGTCTCCTCAAGCTCACCATTCTTTCGGTCCAGGATCTAAAAAAGTGAAAGGAAGATCATTTGAACAGAAACTGGAGAATATTTTGCTTTTTTTACTGCCGATTGTCTTTTTTCTTTTTACTTGTGCCAGTAGAGATTAAAGCTATACGCTAAAATAAATATCAATTGACAGAAACCACTGCAAAATGATCAGTTTCTCTTGTTTTACTATTTATAGGTATGTGTTTGAGTTAAATAAAAAAATAAAATGTATTCTATAAACTGCTGACAACGTTTCTCTGTGTTGGAATGTAACAGACACTAGAATGTAATGGCTGCCATACATGTAGAGATATATTTAAAAAACATTTTCAGTGGTCTCTTCATTTTTTCCTGAGCTGCATATATTTTTCAGGACATTATAAGAACGTTTGCTCGTGATCCATATTCCATTAAATTAAATAAGATTTCAATCATGAACAAAGACAAACAAAAATGAACACAACCACCAAATATAAATAACAGTATAGTGCCACAGTGACGCGACCTAAAACCTGGAAGTAAGTTAGCATTTTACCACTTCCGGTTCCTTCCACAAAAAAGCAATGCAATTTCTCCATAGGATTTTGGAAAATAGCTCGAATTAAGGTCTGTGGTTGACACACATTTAAGAGACAGATCACGTTTTGTTAGCCGGATAATATCCACATGTCTACCCTACTTTTATAATTTTCGAATCATTATAAAAGTAGGACTGTGGCACTCAAACTGCAATAACTCTTAAGGATACCTTTTAAGCGTGAGATATTTTGACAACTAGTAGCCATCTGTAGCACTGTCTTTACATGAGGGGCTCATCTCTGTTGGTACATATTCATGCTGGTGATTTCCTGGCAATGATGTTACATTTTAACACCGATTATAGGTAGGCGTTACACACCAGAAATGCAGTGCTGTGCCAACAAGGCAAGAAAGAAGAAGTCTGCTAGAAAGAGAACTTACATGTAAAAGATGGAGGATTCAGAATTTTAAAGAAAAATAAATACATTTGCTTATGTTTTGATGAAAGCTAGTTTGTTTGGCTTCAAGCAAATGAATAATGTTATTAAAAATACTGAATTTAAACAGAAACCTTTTTTGTTTACTAGAAATCCCCTCAGAGATACACTGAGTAGCAGATCTATTAAAAATACACTAATATCACAACTACATAATACTAAATGTAAACAATCAATGTTTATAGAGTTATTTGCATCAGTAGTGTTTATGAATACTGCAACAAACAGACCTTATTCTAAATCATGAGGATTTAACAAAAGCAAAATGTATATTGTAAATGTTATTTAAAGGGACATGGGATATTTTGTGTACATAATTAACCGCATGACCTGATACGACCTCATTACCCACATGCCTATGGAGGCATCAGGCTAACGGAGGGAAATGCCATGCGAGTAAACCACCTGTGCTGAGGTGTGCTGGGTAACTGCATCTGCTCGCTGCTGCCATCTGTGAGCTATTAGTCAAATAAGGCCATGGAGAGTTGGAGCTGCAGTGTAAAAGGACAGGCTGGCACTCTCCATCAGGAGGAGGATGGTGTCTGGGCTCAACTTTATAATGTACATATACATATTTAGCATATTATGCAATTAGTCTGAGCGTGTGTCTACTGCCAGGTGTTTACAGGTTTTAAACAAATTCACGAGGGGACAGGAGTCCTTACTTGCATCTGCCGTAAGTAGGAAGTTGGATTCTTGTCTTTTCCTGTCCCTACAAATTCTTCTGACCTCAAAACATTTTCCACTGAGGTCAGGGAAAAATGGTTAGAAATAAAATAATTTTTTTAAACTTTTTTTACTTCAGTGTAAATCTTGTTTTCAGCATAATTACCCCTGTCAATGAGGTTATGTTTTTGGTTCAGTTTGTTTAACTTTTAGTGGGAAAACTACTAATGCACCAAGGACAAACTCATTACATTTTGGAGCGGATCGTAATCACATAGCTGATAGACACAATAATTACCACATTCTCGTAACTGTATTACCCGTCACAGTTAACAAGACAAAATAAAATAGACCAGTCCAACAACAGTCTCATGCTCAGATTTTCTGTCAGTGAGAGTATTTATTTGCTCGTCAAAAACCGTCCCATAGCCCATAAGACTTTATCTCTCCAGCACTTTGTTTGTTATCCAGGTGCACTTAGCTGCTAAGCCAGTCATCCCCTCTGTGTGAATGGGATGGGGGGAGATGAAAGGAGGTTGGGGGGGGGGGTGGAGCAAAGTTCACAGAACATTTAGGGATACCCAATTTTTTCCATTTCACCAGACCAGAGAGATTGTTGTCTTTTGAGGGGGCCAACCGAGCAAGGCAGTGACACAGTGTCAGTCCAGGGAGAGTGCACTATAAGGTGGGAAATGGCAGCTTTTAGGGTGCTCATTTTAGGCTTTTATAAGACCCCCTAATGCGGAGGGGGATGTAGTATGGCAGTCCATGACTTTAACTAATATCACCAGTGAATGGAGTGAACTGGAGCAAACACGCCTATTGTAGAAAACATGAAATAGTATTAGTGTACTCTGTTCATATAGAGAAACAGAAACACTAATGTACTCCCAATGGAAGTTCAAACAAGACATTTTTTTTTCTGGTGTGGTATACTGTCTCAGATTTCTTTACCTGAGGTTATTAAATATGTTTTCAACTAAACACAGTAGTAATCCACAACCACTGACATACAAAACTCTGGCCTGTTCTCTCATTAGCCTCTTCACAATGACCGGTGGCATTTTAGCAGTGTATGCATTATTCATAGAGAGACTAATTAAAACTAAACGAAGCTTGCCCACCTTCCATCAGCCTCATCATCGTGCACCCCCAAATCACTCCCCTTTGAAGCCATTAGAGAGAATACCGGGTGAAATACTGAGGAAATTAAATCGGACATAACAAGCAATCTGTATGTAATTAAAGAGAGGGAGGGAGAGCGAGCTAACTGTCAGCCTGTCTCCTGTCAAGCACAAAGAAGCAATGGGCATCTTAAAGAGGACTGAAAATTGGAGTGTTTTTTCCCTTTTATTAAAAGCTTCTGTGGCAGCAAAGGAAAGTCATAGCGAGGACGTGACAGATCCCAGGTGCTTGATCTGAGGCAGATGATGGGCACCAAGTGTGAAACAAACCAGCTTCACCGCTATTTTCTTCGGCTGACAGAGAGCTTTGAAGAGGTGATTATTCGCGGTATGAGGAGGATGAGAAGAGGAGAGACTCGTTCCTTATTCCTTTCATGAGCCACCAAATGGAAATAAAAGTCAATGATGGGCATCGTAACGCAGGTTAACTAGAATTAATGAACACTCAAGTCAACAGATTTGCCTGTCCAGTGTCCCCAGACGAAATTATAATATCATATTTCTCAATATAATTGGAACTGCGAGAGTTCTGCAAATAAATTAAAACCAATTAAAGTCTGGGCATGAACTTAAGACTGCATTAGATTATAGGATCTTGGTTGTGTTTCATATTAACACAGTTTAGTGAAATGCTAGGACATTGCAACCATACAAAATCCTGAATTAATGACATCAATATGCCTTTTCTCATATGCTACAAACTAGAGCCAAACATTAAATTGTGTTTTTGAAATGCTGTTACGAGTATTTACTCGCTTTCAGTTTCAATTCTTACTTTCTCAACATCTGCATCGTGTCTCTGCTGCATCTTCAGTTTCTCCTCCTGGTGCTTGGACTCCAGAACTTTGATCTTCATCTCAGTCTGGAAACACATTCGAAAACAAAATGTCATGAACTGTATTGCCAAACTGTTTTTATTTCCATATGTAAAATGAAGTTTGTAAGCAAAAAAAAGCTGCATCTGCTTGGAGGGATGCAACATTATTTATTACCCAGCAACACAAGTAGCAAGTTTTGTTTAACGGGAGATAAACATTGCGATCAGTGTCCTAATCTTTTTTAGAGACATGCCTTAAAAAAACATCACAGAGTGACAGGATAGCAGAGATAACATGAATCTGGATGAAAGAAGATACTGTGTGTCCCGTCTTGCACCCAAGCGCAGCTGATGATGAAATACACCACATTAACATTTAAAAACATTTATCCGTGCTTCAAAAAACTCTGTGAAATTGAGATCTACTCAACTGTGTGTGTGTGTGTGTGTCTGTTCACTCTATAGTAAGCACAACAAAGTGAAAGCCTGTGTGTACTACTGCAGTTAATCATGGAGAGAGTGGCTGTTTTCATTTGAACACAGTGTTTTCAGAGGATCAAAAGTTCAGCGTTGTCATGTGCATGTTAGAACAGATCCCCTAAAGCTAGGCGGCTTCACCATCTAAGTCAAATAAACCCTAATGCCCTCTTCTTCTATGGTTTTTATTAAACATAATAAGCTTTTAGTCATTTGTGGAGAAATCATTATCACATCTCTGACTTTGCAATATATTCACAAATATATATTGGTCTTTGAAAGGCGTTCCCTGTGTCAGCAGAGACAATAATACTAAAAGACGCGCTGGATTAGTGGAAGAGATTCTGTGAATATCATTACATTACATTTAGCTGACGCTTTTATCCAAAGCGACTTACAATAAGTGCATTCGACCAAGATACAAACTTGAAGAAAACAGAATCATATAAGTACATCAGGTTTCATAGAGCCAAACATTTCAAGTGCTACTCAACTGGCTTTAGATAAGCCAGTCCTTTATTAGTATATAAGTGCTTTGATAGTAATTATATCGCTCGAAGTGGAGTCGAAAGAGATGATTTTTTTGTAATATCAGTGAGTTAAGAGTCTTTGATGGAGGACAGCAGCCCTGTGAGGCTGTTACACATATTATATTCCACTCAGAACCTTACTCCTAGTGGGGCAGAAAAGCAAACCTTGACCTGAGGGTGTTCCACAACAAAAAAAAGAGTGTTTAATGTATGATACAAGGAGTTTATCCTTTGAGATGTTTGAGTAGCTGTCATTCTCTGGACTGCGAATGGTGCTAGAGTGACTGTAGCATATCAGTCTCTGACAGTGACAAAAATAATATAGTCTTGGCTGAATATCTTTAACATAATCATAACACATCTTTAAAAAAAACGGCATTCATGTGTTGTTTACAATATGCATATGTTTAGTCCTGCTTATTTGACACAGCGTTGTCCTGCTATATTTCAAATTAAATGTATTTTATTGTTATCATGTGTTCCTTTTTATATCACATTTCCTTTCTAAAATATGATGTTTCTCTGCCTAGTTTCTAGTTTGTTTGTTCCTATGACACACAAGATGTCTCGAGTCACAAACACGCAACACATGACAGAAATATGACTGTCCATTGGCTTTGATGTCATGTTTAGTCAGTCTGTGCTGGCGTGTTAATCAACCCTGGAGCGCAGTGGCAATGTTCTCCCTTGAAAGTGTGGTTGTGTGTGTGAACATGTCAATGGTTAACAACATCCTGAGGCTAGCTTTTGTATGTTCTAGTCATCAAAACAATTAAGTAGAAAATCCCCACGACACAGTCTAACCACATTAGACCTTCTGTTGGTAAAAATCAAAGGGAAGCAGCTGTTATGATGTCCCGACTAAAAATATGATTCAACATCACACTGGTTGTTAGATACAAATATGTATGTATGTACGTGTCGAAATGGTAGAATCTATAAAACCCAAATAGATTGGTTTTGTTAACATGTAAGTACTTCACTTTTGATAATCTTCACAAGTGTCAATAAATAAACTAAGACACATAAGGTTGAACTACAGACGTATTCTAGATGTCTCTCCTTGTTATTGCACTTGAGCAACCTTTATACACTGAAGCCTTGACAAAGCTCTGTTAAATGTTCTCTCTTTGTTCTGTGTCTGTTTTCTTGATTTTCCACCATGTCTTGTGCAATTGAGGGGACCACAGGAGACCTGTCAGAGTAGAAAGGAAAATGCAAGAGAAAGAGAGAAGGAGGGAGATGGCAGTGATTGAAAAGCAGAACATTAAGTAGAGACCTGATTCTGCCGGTGCCCCAAAAAAGGAAAAAAAAAACACATGTGGGGGTGTCACTTTCTCATCCTCTCTTCAAATGCACTTTGGAGAAAGTTTGTCAAACTAGATCAGGGGCGTTTGAAACTTGTTTATAAAGTCGTCAGTGAAGGAAGGAGGAGGAGGAATGTCGTACACCTAAGGCGTCTGAGATGCCTTCAATCAGCCCGACTGGATGGTACAGCTTTTTTACCGCTTCTGTTCTTCAGAGTTGTTGCGAGCGCTGTAAGATGCCATGTTTTTTGACAATCCGCTCTTGAAAGGATAGGAGGGTGGGAGGGAAGAACTGGGGGGTAGTGGTGGTGGCGGCGGGGGCATATGAGCGAGGGAATGTGAGGAGAAGACGGAAACAGTTGCTTTCTCTGCTCTCAAAACCATCGCGGGGTTCATGGCCTTCTTCCTCAGAGGGATGTGTTCACAAATCGTCTGCTAACTGTTTGTGCTCCTCAAAGCAAGGTTGCGTTTGTGCATCTCCTTCGTCTTACCTGCGATGTGCAATGTCCTGGTGCGTCTTTCATCCTCAGTAAACACAGATGCTCAAGGATAGTCGGTATGCAGCGTTCGCTATCTCCTGAGGAGCAGCTAGATGTCCTTTCCACACTGACAGGAAGTTTATTCACTGTCCAGATAGTAAGGTTGGCTAGAAACGTTGGCTCCCATCGAATGTGAAAATAATTACCCCCAAAGATTTAGAGAAGGGCTAAGTAAACAGATTATTACCTGAAATTGCTGATATAAATACATCAAGTACGTAAGAATCAAATACAGAGGACAGAAATAGTAACTTTATCTTCTTGGAACCCAGTTGGTCCCTTGTGTTTCTCAGCCTGGAGCACTCTGAGGAACTGGTCCCCTTTAAACTACTAAGGCTCACTAGCTTTGCTCTTTTTTAGCTTTGAAAAGCGTTCAGATAAGAAAGGCTATGGCCCACTAAATCACAGGCTGAGCGCTCAAGCTCCATCCCAGAGGATTCTTAGATTAAAGAGACTGCATCATTATGGCAACGGGGAGCAAAGGGGTCTGATCCCTAGTCTTGGGCTTGTGACCATTAGAGTGCGACTGCTTGACACGAAGACATTCATCTAGTGTACTGCGCCTTCTGCCAACAATCCCTGAGGTCAGGTACCAAGGGGTTGGTTTAGAAAACAGTATGCACAGGCGCATATGCAAACTTTAAAAGAAAGATGGGCCGCCTTGATCAGTCAGTATCTCCTCCAGTAATCACAACTTGGGCCTACGGCAAAGCATGACTCATCAGCCGCTGTTTAATTGAATTTTCCAAATAAAGACTCGTAATACTGAGAACTTCTAGGGTGTGCTTAAGGATTAGCAGGACTCAATGCTCATGCCAGACACTTTCCACAAGTCATTCATAAGCAAAAACACTGCAAGTGACTCAAAGCAATGTCTGCTTGCGGTGAAGTGTCTCAGCTGCCCCTCATTGTACCGTAGGAAAAGAGCAGTCAGCATTCTTATCAATGCGGTCGTTAGCTTAGCAGGAGGATGAGTTTGGTGTGAAAGCCGAGATGTTTGTTGAGCTGCCGCCAGCTTAATGACATGTGGCATGTATAACGTTTTAAACCTGGGTACATTTTCAACTAGGCTTTCGGGATTAAAGGCAAGTGATGTCACTGTGATTTTCTAGTCTGGGCCTAGACAGCCACGCAATGGTAGGGTTGGACATGGTTCTGCAGGAAAGCTTAACGCGGCTGTTGAGGATGATATGGTTAAGGGTGGTATTGGTGACTCAAGACACTTCTATAGAAAAATACTGTGCGTGTATGTGTGTGGTAACAGCTGTATCCTGTGGGGTTCAGAGTTCCTGAAATCCTCCTAACACTCTTGTAATTGCTTATGGTGACACAAGACACATGATCACTCGGGGCATCTAAAATAATAAAAACTAAAAGAAAAGGGGCTTTACTGTCGCATGACATTAACTACAGACGTATTATGATTCCCCTTTTTTAGGGCAGATGGTAAAGGCAAAAGGGAATTCCCAGAAGCTCACAATGAGAATGGAAGTGGAGATGCATTGCTCAATGTAATGTTCTGCATGTGGCTGATGGGAGTGGATGTGCAGGTCATTACCAAATAGACAGCTTGAAATGTTGACCCGATGATGGCTGTAGATGAAACGTTAGCCGTCACGATGGGGATTACAATTCTTCCAAAGGGAAAAATGCATGTTATCAGACATTGTATTACAAAATACCAATGTCAATCTCCATGGTGGAGAAGTCTGGGATCATACAATCTAAATGTTCTGGGAATCATTGGTGACTGTACCAAATGTTGTGCCAATACATCCGTAGATGGTAAACATTGACCAGTAGGAATTTCTAAAAAACATTCCCTGGCATCCCTCTTAAGTTATTCAATGTGTTGTTGGGGACCAAACATCTGTCCAACATTGCCATATATTTGAAACAGGGGCTATTAGCACACAAGCAAGAATCATTGGGAATAAAAACCTTAGCTTGGCAATATTACCTCTCATTTCCCAAAGTATTTATTTGAGGAATTCCTGAACTGTTCCCATATTGAGAGCATTCTGGCCTCAGCGGCACTGACGGACCAGTTTTCTATAGCCTCTCGCTAACAATGTTATTCTCTCATTCAAGAGCACCTACATATAAACTGGATCAACTGGCCTTTTTTTCTTTCAACGATTCATACTTCTGACATACAACTGGGGGACATCGTTTTAATTATCAAATGTGAAAATACCATTAGCACAAAAATGTCCATAGAGTTTAATCAATAAACATCCAACCCTCTTATGAGCTACACTCAGTTTACTGCAGGCTACCTACAGTGATTTACCTTAGAAACCGGTAACTCTGTGTATAATAAAGTAAGCTTGATGTGAAGGATAAATATGGTCTTTCTGAAATGTGATACATTTATATTCCCACCACACACAGCCGTCTGAGTCAGGATCAAACAGCATGGTACGTTGCTTTAATGTTTTTCGTATTGGTGTTGCTACATTAAATATCAACCCACAGGTAGACAGACTGACTGTCGGACGTGTATGTGTGAGTGATGTGTGTCTCTACATGTAAATCACAAACACATCTCTGTTATGACAGAGAGGCCAATAAGCATGTTGTGCATTGCTTCATACCCTTTCCCTTTCTTTCTGTCCTTTCTCCCTCCATTCTCCACCCTCTCCAGGTGAAGCTAACTGACCTGAGCGTTTTTCCCTAAGCAGACATGAAAAGCCACGGCTATTACAGCCAAGTCATGCTTAGTTTTATATTTAACAGTGCGGGTAAAATCCTATGGTGGGGGGGCTGAGTGGTAGTTCAGGAGAGGTGGGGAGGAGCAGAGGGGACTTCAAAGCATGCTTTCAGAATGGGATTTTCAGCTTAAATCCACATAAGGAAAAAGCTGTCATCACTGGGAGCCGGCATTATTTTTGTCTTCTAAGAGGAACCCTTGCCTCTGTCATTTCAACAATACAAACTATACAAAGAAGCATGTACATGGCTGTGGGGGCCATAAAGCAGTCAAGGGAGCCATAACTTCTGTACATGTTCAACACTCTTCTATATAAATGCTCAGCGTACTGAATAGTGAGTAGCAAGGGTTTAGGCTTACTGGAAAGGACAGTCTCTAAAATCTCACGTACTGTAGCGTATACCTCCTTGCTCTGTGCAAACTGTGGGCCCTGATCCTCGGCCAAGGTGCTGTTCCTCCCAAAGCTTGGCTTGGAAATCTACAGAGATAAAGAGCTAGATTAGGTGATGACGAGATCAAAGACAGCACTTTCACCTACTCTACATTAAAAGCAACCAAAAGACACCCTTTTGCAACTCACCGGAGACAAGGGACTGGGGTTCTCTCGCAAATAACGAGGGTTTTCAACCTGAAAGTAAATAGAAAAACGTTCAAATGACTTCCAGAATCTGACCTCAGCCCCTCAGATTGTTATAAACAATACTGGGAATACATCAAAAGCTCAGGGCTGTGGCTGCAGTCTCTTCCGTCAACTCTTCGGAGAACTTCAAGGCATGTTGTGTGTGGCCGGCTCTGTTTCCGCTCTCAGCCCCTCTTTGCTGTCGCAACGTGGACTTTTGTCAACACTCAGCACCACGAATCTGTAAGCTATCCCCGGTCCGTTTACCTTCATATGGAGACAAATGTGTATACATCCATGCCAAACACTGACATGCCATTTCCTTTGATTATAATATGAAACACAAGACACACAGAAAGGAACTGCGCAACCACCTGAACGCAAACTGTGCAGCATTACATCAATAGGGCTCACTAACTGTAACACAAACATCTCTGTGTTGACAACCTGCTATTTTCCTTTCACTATTTGCATTTGTTTATGACCCCATTATTTTCTTGTGAACTCACACCATCATTCAGTGTTTCTCTGTCATGCACTGAGGCTGTCTACAGGGGCTGCTAACTAGCGGCAAGATCACGGCCTTTCAAAGCAGTGGGGCTGACTTTAGAGATGACAGCAGAGACGCCTGGTAAACAGTTCTGTTGCTAAGCTCTTTTCTTCAACGTGGGGATGGAGGAAGAGAACAAGGAGGAAGAGGAGAGTAGTGTGGGATCCATTCAGTTGTGTACAAAAAAAGGATTAAATGTTGTTCAACCCACACAAAGCCAATGGAGAATGAATGGAAGATGAGAGAGCAGAGCCTAAAAGCTTGGGACTAAAATAGTTACAGCTACTGTACGAGGATAAAGTCACAATCTGTTGCTTCAGGGTGAGCCAGTGACAGGTGGAGTAGATGAAAGCAGCTATGCCTCCGACTTAGTCGTGATGCAGGTAAAAGCAGGTCGGACATTTTGTTAGCTGACATACAGTAAGCTCTCAACAAAAGGAGACATCAGGCTTAACTCCAATCAGATTTACTGTAACACATGCACAGAGAGAGACGTGCACAAGAACAGACGAGTCAATATAGTGAGCACAGAGCAGCATCAATGTGCAGGTCATAATGTTTGATGAATTGCTATTTAATTTTGGCACTGGCAAAGAAAGAAATCCATATTTACCAAGTGATGAATCAATCAATATCCGTCTAAACTAGAGCCAGGCTGAAAACTAGAATGGGATTTATTTTTATACCCACAGACAGCCAGTCAGCACATTTGATTGAGCACGGCCCACAGGGCGACATGTAGACTAAATGCTGCGGTGTAATGTTGGCACAGTGCGATACTAAACTTGGATTTGGTGCACACGTATGCCTGCCTGTGTGCACACTCTTATTCTGCGTGCGCCTGTGTGCAGCTGGCACAGCGCTCTGTGTCATTGGAACCTGACGTGGATGGATGGACCACGCAGACCAGGAACATCACAAGGCCTGGCTCCGCAGCCAAATAAAAACACCCAGTGATTGATGGCTTTCTACTTTCTGACTAGCGGTCAACTGCCCATTTAACCCAGACAACGAACTAGCATTGAATTGTGTATGAAAGAATAGGCCAAGCTTTTACACAATTTTATTGGCATGCTTTTGTGTTCTTCACCGCAGATCAGTGTATGCTGCACCTAACTCTACTGTTACGGCCCGTCCACACTACAGCTTCGACAGCTTCAAAAACGGTTTCCAACGCGTCTGCCCATTCACTTTGAATGGGGTGACGTCACTTTTCGCCGAACTGCATTGTGGGAAGCAGAGCGGAGCTTTCCTGGCGTTTCAGGCTGCAAAAGTTGAGCAATGTTCAACTTTTGAAGCTTCTGAAGCTTTCGGTGGAAGCGTCAGCCAATCGAATCATATGCCAGTACAAGCTCTAGCCAATCAAACCGCTGCTTGTGTGTCAGGGGCGGGAGATTCATGTGATTGGTTGTTGGTCGAGCTTCAGACACGCCCAGCTCCAAGCTTTTTTTGAAGCTGTAGTGTGGACGGGCCGTTACTCCCAATGGAGATTAAACTCATGAGCCACTGGAGAAAGAAGCAGATGGAGGTCCAGCTCACTCAGGTTGTGTGTCCCTTAAAGGAACTCCTATCAGAGTCTGATGCAATCTGTTGACTACTGTCCAGTATGGCCACCATGCTGAGATCACACATTATGTCATTCGAGGTGAAATGAACAAACCGATTTGGACTACTTCAGAACATCTAAAGCTAAAGATGTTCCAGATTAAGAGTGACGCTTGGCTGTGCTGACATTTTCCTCGGAACTTGGGGCTTTGAAGCATCCATAAGACTTCTGTAAACTTAAAGGGGGTTTGTGTGTGTGTGTGTGTGTGTGTGTGTGTGTGTGTGTGTGTGTGTGTGTGTGTGTGTGTGTGTGTGTGTGTGTGTGTGTGTGTGTGTGTGTGTGTGTGTGTGTGTGTGTGTGTGTGTGTGTGTGTGTGTGTGTGTGTGTGTGTGTGTGTGTGTGTGTTTGGGGAGGAACATCTGTTGATTTGAAAGATGCAGGCTTGGGGGAGCGTTGCCAACCAATGCCTCTTATCAGCATCTCAACACAGACGAGTGCAGAGCCTCACGTCTGCTGATGGATACCTCAGATTACCCTGGTGTTGAGAAAGAGAGGAACATGGAGAGAGTCTGAGGAAGCGAAGATGTAAAAGGCTGAAGGTGAAATCGCGAGGCAGAGGGAAAGAAAGGATTTTAGAAGAGAGAGAGGCCGTTTTGAAAGCAGGAGAAAACATGGCTGTGTGTGAGTGATGTGGGGGAGAGGACGATGGAGACTCTGGGTCATGCTGGTGAGGAGATAGGGAAAAAATAAGGGAATAAAAGACATGAGGGCAGAGTGCTTATCAAGCACTGGACTGGTGCACTCCAGGCAGATCAGATAAGAGAGGCGCACACATCTTCAAATGCTCAGTTTACTCAACGCTTCTCCTGCTCCTCATCCCACTGTCACGTCCTACAATCACATTAGAAGGAAGTGGCTTCAGGAAGGGATGGGCAATATATCGATATTATGTAAATATCTTTATATGAGACTAACATCCTTTCCTGGTTTCAAAGGATGCATTACAGTAAAGTGAGGTCATTTTCTGAAAATACAACTGTTTTAAATGTTATTTGCTTAGCCCCAGCCGTTATGTCATTTTCAGAAATATCAACGTGTACATGTGTGGAATCACCTATTGGCAACCCTACAATCTCCTCGCAATATCGATACGGGGATGTTTGATCAGGAATATCATGATATTTGATTTTTTTCTGTCCATATCGCCCAGCTCTACAATCACGAGGACATTGTTGAAAGCGTTTAACAGCCTTTGTCGGACAGTGTGTAAGCAATCAATCAGCGTCATTGCCCTATTGATTTAAATGTGTTCATGAGCTCGGGTGATCAGATTCACTGTCACTATGCGTGAGCTACAGCTTAAAGAGAGCTGCATGTACCCAAGCAGCTGAAGGCATGCCCCTGGACTCACCCCCAGGTTCCAGCTGTTGAGACGAGCCTCCAGGTCGCTGTCATCGGGAGATGTGTCTGCGTTCAGCCCCACATCCACCTGAGGAGGGGGGAAAAGTGAGAGTGCGTAAACAGCAGAAAACACAATGGAAATTGAGTGTTTTAAATGAGAGGAGGGAATTAAAACCATTTCTTTAACTGACAGTTTGGCCTGAGGAAGGGAGTAACACAGGGGTTATCATTTTGACATTATTCCTCTCTTGGCAACAATAAAAAGGTTCTTTAAAAGCTTATAGATATACAGTACACCCACACATGTTCTCCTCCCACACTAACAGCTTTTCACTCCCTCGTTATCTCCATCTCTCCATCCTTTGCTCCCTCGCTCTCCTCCCTCTCACATACAGCACTCCAGATGTTTGGCAGCTCCACATCATCATTTCCGTCACGCTGTAAATTCCACGAGAGGGGCATATGCAGCTAAACTGTCTGTCATCCGTACGTTTCCCCAGCCTTTTGTTACGACGGGCCTCCGGATTTGTTCTATACAGTATAATTTGAACGCTTCCAGGGGTTTCTGTTGATTCAAGATCAGTTTACTCAAGTCAAGGTTGGGCAGCGAGGTAGATATGGGGGGAAATATCTTATAAAGTTGAGGCAGCGATAGGGTAAGGAGAGATGTTGTTGGATTTGATTAGGATCTTGTGGAGTGTGGACCTTGGGTGTACCTCAGCGGAACTGCACTGACAGAGAAATGGCTGAATGAAAAGGATTAAATGCCCCTTCGGATTAAAAAGGCATTAAGGTCCCAGAGCCTCACCCTCAAACAAACACAGTAAATGTTTCATATCGATATCTAGGAATGCTGAGTATGTGGGTCACCGGCTGTTCAAAGTAGCGTGTCACAGTCTCTGTATCGCACCAGGAATTCAACACTATACTGTATAAATGGGCTCCAATGGTTTTTGCCAGATGTACTCACTGTTGTGACATTGAACTGTTTGATGGCTTTTACTTTGGTTTGATGACACATTAAAGGCCATGAAAAAATATTTCTCAATCAGTTTCTTACAATTTGCAGTTTTCATCTACTTACATTTTTAACCTAAATACACTTATTTTGCCAGATCCTCGCTTAAACTAATGCAGTCTAACAGAACAGCACCATCTGCAATCCCACCTTCATGAAGAGTCAGTTTGAATTGAGTAAAAAAACAAGAACCACTTGTTGAGTTAATGTAGGCCTTGTAACTGATCCAGTATGATCCTGAAGTGAATATATCTGCACTTTCCTTGTTGTTCTGAGTTTGATTCTTTATGGTTTTCGCACTTATTGTAAGTCGCTTTGGATAAAAGCATCAGCTAAATGATATGTAAATGTAAAATAAATCCCCAAATATTTGAAGGATGTAGTTGAATTAGTAGAAGGCTGTTGAATCGTGTTCTGTTACAATGAGAGTTATCCACATGTTTGTCCAACCTACTTATACGAACATTGTAATACAAACTAAGGGAAACAACTCTCAGTGTAACTCAGAGATACGTTTCAGTAGGGTGCATCAAAAATCTGTTTGACTGCCAAATGTATTGTGATCACAACCATTAGCTCCATTTCTGTTGCTTGAACCAGCAACTTATAACTTCAGGGAATTTCCTCCAGCTTCATGGGGATATGAGTTTAGGAATTTCCAAATTGGTCCACATTAAAGAAGAAAGCAAATCATCGCAGCTACTATTTGTATTGGCACCAGCGGGTTTGCAGTAATATTTCAATGTGTCATCTAATGGCAGGGAAGTCCAGAGGTGTGTCTGAACCACGGTGATGTGCTCACCCTGCGGGCATCGTGTCTGGGAGACTGTTTGAGTGGACTGGAAGACACAGGTCGTGGTGGGTTCTGTTCCTCGTACAGCCTTCTCCTGGAAGAGAGAGAGAAATAGGAAGAACAACTGTAAGATGCTAACCTACAGCATAGTATGTGTGTGTCTGTGGAGTCTGTTTTGGTCCCTATGTTTGCATTTGAATGTGCTTGCGTCGGCAGCCTGCCTCGCTATTTACACAGATCAACATCTGGCAGTGGTTGCATGGTTTGTGGTCTGCATTTCATCCCATCCGAACAATAAACGTCTCTGCTATACATCACTTTGTTTCCACGGACAGCCCGCAGGACACCAGTGTTTGGCTGGTCCAATCCTTTTATAAATCGTACACCTCAATCATTGTCTCTCATCATGTCCATCACGGTGTTAAGAAGATTAACAAGGAAACAGCTTTTATTCATTGGCACACAAACACACCCCCTTCTCTCTGTGGCTCTCCCACACACACACACACATAACTGAGCTTACTAGTATCTCATTAAGCACAGGCGCTAATGGCCTGTTAATGCTAATTGAATGAAGATGTGAAAGCAGACGGGAAGATGTAGGACAATAATGAATGGGAAAAAAATGGCTGTCATCTAATAGACATCAAATTGCGTTCTAGAGGGCACTGTTTCACACTCAATGTGCAGCCTATGGGCGATCTTTTTCTCCCATGTAATCTATTTAAGTATTCCTGGCATTGAGCATTTTGAAGCTCATTTGTCACAGAGGGTGTTATCTCGTGGAGGAGAGCACCATCGCTGTGAGCTTTCTGGAAAGACTGCTGAATATAGAACAGGAGGGATATCTGTGCGAGCACCTTTGTAATTTGTACCTCAATTCCTCTAACCCATGGAATATGCATACAACACACAATGTCATATTACTACTAGACAGTCACTGTTTGTTGAGGAAATAAAGTTAATGTTTTCCCAGTTTATATAGGTATACTAACTTGTAGCTATTCCACAGCACAGACTTAAAGGTCACTTATTATTCAAAATCAACTTTTTCATGTCTTTAAATGTTTAATACATAAATGTGTGTCCCCTTTTTGTGGGGATTCGGAAGGTTTCAGGAAAAGGATTATTCCTCTTTTTGTCCTGATCGATATATATAAAAACCTGTCTGAAAATGAGCTGATAAGATTTGGTGACTTTGTGATGTCACAACAGTTTTATCGGTTGTGTAACCATTAGCCAATAACCATAATATCATCAGATTTGTTCTAATCTAAATGACAGGTCCTGATCAAACTAAACGGTACCTATCTGAACAGTATCTCTGTCACATAATAACGTTTTTACTGTAAGTCACAAAATTGGATTTTGTTAAACAGGGTTACGGTAAATATGATACCCTGTCTATTCAAATGTAAAAATAATAATATGCCTCTGAATATGTACTGTTTATGTCCTCATGTGGCAACTCGATGTTCATTTGCACACAGTATGTAATCGTGTATGTAATGTTTAAAAATAATATTTTATAAATTACGTATAGATTGCTATAAATGAAATGACATTGCTAGGCAACAGCTGTCTACTTCCTGTCAGCGGATGTCATTCAGTTACACTGCAACATGAAATAAGCTGGGACACATTTAGAATGTCTATATCTATGAAATGCTCTATACTAAATGGTCTATACACTGACATATACCTATGCTTATATAAACTTATACATACAGACAATACATCTGAAGGACACATTTCCTTGAATTTAATCTGAAAATGATCACTGGAAAAGAGCAATACAATGCTTTTGCAAAAATACTGTTAAGGGTTGAATAATGAATCACTTATTTATAATGAATTATGATCAAAACTTTCAAAAAAACACACACACGGAACTTGGATAAGGGGGCCAAGCTTTGCAATCGTGGGCCTCTAAGTCAACAGGTGGATGAGGATAATTGAATCAGATGTGTCTGGAGTATGAGGCCCAGAGATCAAAGCAGTGGCAAGTCAGGCCAGACACACACACACACACACACACACACACACACACACACACACACACACACACACACACACACAACACACACCACACACACACACACACACACACACACACACACACACACACCACACACACACACACACACACACACACACACACACACACACACACACACACACAACCACCACACACACCACACACACACACACACACACACACACACACACACACACACACACACACACACACACACACACGAAAATGAGAACACCATGTAGAGCCTCAGAAGCTGCAGCTCGGCTGATTAACGCAGCCTGACCTCCAGGTGCAGAGCCAGTGGGCCTGGATCTCAGCCTCGGGCACCCTCAGGAAGGCAGTCTGACCTTGGGGGACAAACATCTCTGCACCTAAAGCCACCTGGAGGCAAGATCAGTGGAGACCGTTTGGCCTGTGAGCGAGACACGTGAGGCCTTTTTACCGGAATCAATGGCTGAATGTTGTAAAAAGCAAAGACAATGTTATTGTCGCACTAAAAAAAAAGAAGAGGAGGGAGAGAGGAAAGGGGGGTTAAAAGATTTCATATGTGGACAAAAAGCACACACATGGAGGACAGAAGTCAGAGTCAAGAGGAAAACAAGGAAAGAAAGAAAGCCTTAAAGAGGCTGCTAAAAATGAAGGAGGGTCATATAAATAGATAAGGCCAGAATTAAACTTTCTGAGACGAGAAGTGCTAATCAAAAGCATGTCAAAACCCCAACCACTGTTATCGTTATCACAATCGGTCCCTTTTGGCATCAGAAGATGGAGAGTACGTGTCACCAAAGCTGTTTCCTATCATCTGTTCTCGACACCCGCTGACTGCTCGAGCTTCACAACAGCATTCCTCTGCCTGAATAGCTGCCATAGACAAAGCAGTGGCTCTATCTTGTGGCTAAATAAGGAACAGCATAACAACACTGGAATGCATTGTGGAATTCGCTCGGGGCATTTCAGCCTAATAGGATAGGAATAGGATAGATGATGTTTAAACAACACGCACACATTAACAACACATCCACTCCTGATTGAAATAGAAATAATAACTCAAAACATCTTTAAAATCCACCCATCTTTTCCTGGTTATCTGGAAACTTGTATTGGACCATTACACAAGCTAAAATAAGCCCTGTCCGTCACTTGACTAATGGCGAGAGAGACAGAGATCAAACGTTGCCACATCATAGGGAGTCAGACGAGTTCCTTCCATTTAATCTTATCTAAATGAGAGACACATAAAAGGACTCTTGGCCCGGCTAATTTTCTTCATCAGGACGTTAGCCTGTGATCTGAGCGTCTTTCATGGTCTTATCCCAATCAGTCTGCTGCGCATAAAACCTCTCTATCCTCACCCTATAAAGCACAGGGGAGGAAGGGAAGTACCATGTTTCAAATTGAAAGAGTCTTTTGGTTTAAAAAAAAAAAAGTCATTAATAATGTCACAACTGCTAGACCATCAAAAATGTTCAAACCTATTTATGAAACAATAAAATAAAAAGCATAATCATGCCTGTTTATTTAACACTCAAGTGTGTTATGCATTCTGCCATTTTGAATGTAGTCACTTTTAATGGAAGGAAGTGAAAAAACGGAATTTTAATTTGTTCTGGGACACAGGCTAGATAATGTGAGTTAAAAAGTGTGAGAAATATTTAAACACTAGTTCTAATGATGAGTTTCTAAGAATCAAATATTCTATAACCCCCGAGAGTAAGAATTTGAATTTCATTTGGCAGCAGAGGGCATGTTCTCTTTTATTACACAGTGCCCTGGTGGATATTAAGCTCTCTTTACATTTACAGCGCTCTCTTTTGAATATGCTAATGAGCATTTCAAGCCACTGCGCTCCGGTTTGCCTTTCCCTGTTAATTAGAATGAAAAACCCTGAGCCATTACTAACATCACTTTGTCAAGCGCCTGCACCGCCTGCAGTCAGAGGAAATATCCCTGAGCCAACTAGGATGATTTAGGGAAGAATGTGCACACGATTATATGCGTTTTCATATTCATTCGTGCATGTGTGCCTGAGTAGCACTTTGAGTCAAGCGTTTTTTTAAATGAAGCATCACATTTTTAAATCCAAAAACACTATTTAGCAGCTCATACAAGAATAGAAACAAGATAATGAGCTACCATCCTTATTCTCCGTGTTCCCCTCTCCTCTGTGGGGTTTCACCTCAGGTTCAACAACTAGGAAACTTTAAGAAGAAAATAACAGGAAAGAGAATACAAGCGGCCCTCACCCTCTCATGCTGTTTTGATAAGGATTTGAAAAGTCAGAATGGACAGTTGAAGCAGACTGATGCAAGAACTTGGCAATGTCTTCGGCTTTTCAGATAGTGCTGCAGAGCAAATACGATGGCCGATCAGTCACGTAAGCTGTGTGTATTCAGCTTCAAAGTCGAGCTCAATTTCCGTATAAAACAACATCGACCCAGAGTGCTTAGATAAATATTATATGTGTCATATGTAGCATATTTTATATCTGTCCAAAGTGTGAAGTGCTGTTAAGTCACCAGCTGGAGAACTATTTTAAATAAACTTTAGTTGTGCAGGAACTAAAAACAGTACTGGAATGGAGACGTTTTAAATGTGCCAGGACCTCTCACTGCAATTGTGATAAATTCCACTTAAGAAAGATTGAACTGATGAGATGATATAATGGACCCATTCTTTGGAGCCAACTGTCGCTCTGCTTCTCACCGTTAGAAGGGACTCCAGACTGCAATCTGCTTCACTAATGAATTGAAGAATTACATGAATCACCTAATAAAAGGTTACTTCTACCTCTAGGCTGTACTGTCATGCAACTGGCATGTGTGCTACCGACAGCTAGGGCTGCTCGATTATGGAAAAAAACACAATCACGATTATTTTGGTCAATAATTGATATCACGATTATTAAATACGATTATTCATTGACTTTGAAAACATCCATTTATTGAACTTTAAAACAAATACAAATAATAATTTGAACAGTATCTTTTTAACTGTTGATTACCCTGAACGTATAATTCAACTGAAAAACCAATACAAAAATAAATTAAATAAATGATACATTATATTTAAATTTAAATAAATATCAAAATAATAAATACCAATAAACAAGATCAACAAATATTTTGGAGCGCACTTCCACAAGCTGCTAAACATATATGAATATGATAAATAAAAATAAATTAGACCAAAATAAATTAGATCAAATATGTTGCAGTGCCTAGCAACCTAGCAAAGCAAAATAATCGTTTTTTTCTTTTATGTTCTTTTTGTAATTGTGGCAGGCCAAAATAGTAATTGCGATTAAAATACGATTAATTGCACAGCCCTACCGACGGCAGCCTATTTGTATTACTCTTGTCCATAAAATTGAAAGAAGGTCATTATGATCCAGAACATAACGTAGACGTTGCACCATTATCTGTTTTAAAAGGATGATAGGGTTTCATGGATGTGTTGAAACAAATACCAATTGTTTGGTACCAAACAGGTGACAAGTACGCATCTTTGGTCCACACATCCTTTCAGTTTACAATTCCATACGATGAATGATGAGTTTCAAAAGAGGCACGATATTTGTTAAAGGCAAGTTTATTTATATAGCACTTTTCTGTAAAGGCTCAATATGTGTTAAAATACAATTCAGTATTGTGGCACTGCAGAGATATCCAATAGTACTCTACAGGCTTAACAAAACATATATATTTGGTCATCTGCAAATCACACAATGATCCTTTTACATTTATTTTTCAATGATGAGAAAATAATAATGCAATGATGACGAATCCCTCCCATACTTAAATTCCAATATCTGTCAAAATAATTTCAATTAGTGATTTTTTTCCCAATGGTGCAGCCCTAGTGGAACAGTACCTGTGACGAGCTGTGATGGGTGTGGAGCTGGTTCTGTCCTTCAGCAGACTGGCAGCCAAAGAGTCATCAGTGTGGCCTCCAAGCTCTCCTGTCAACCAATCAGGCAGCTCCGCTCTGCTGTGACCGCGCAGAGGTTCATCAAAGTAGATCGACTTGGATGCAAATGAAAAGACATCAGATGAAAACTAGGTTAAATAAGTCAATAAGTATTTGCAATCTGTTGCAATTGTATTCAATGAGTATTCAACTGCATGAGATGTATGCAGATGTATGTATGCAGATTAAATTAAAACATTGAAAATACAATCTTTTTGAAGTTCAATATTTTCTAAATGAAGAATAAGCTCAACTTTATGTTTTATTTAGCACCTTTCATTCAAACATGCTGCCAAAAGTGCTTCACAAAAAAGGAAAAACAAATAAACGACATACTTATTACATACCTATAATTTCTTATGATGTCTATTCTAGAATGGGAGCAACAGTCATTTAGGGATCATTAAGGTTCCTGATAATGGTTGTGAAATGAGATTCTAATTAAGACAGTTTAAAATCACTCCCAAGAATGTGATCTTTGCTTTGATCCCAAACATTGGGTGCCATTTTTGTCTTGCTGCTTTTTCTTCTTTAAGATCAGTGAGACAGGCAATGTGGACATGGAGTGGGTCTTACTACAGCAGCCGAGCTGACGGCAATACAGCAATTATTTTTGTTTCAATGATGCAGTAACTCTTACCATGTAGGTAGGGAGTGTCTTGAGGCTGCCAGGCTCTGGTTTGCAGGTGAAAGGCCGATCCAGGGCCCCTCTTTTGAGCATTTGAAGGAGCAAACGGGCATGCATGTTGCGGTTCTTACGACCAGTCAAACCTGAACCACAGCTGGCCGGGTCACACAGCTTCTTTATCCATGTGACACATCGCTGCCGCTCTGTGGTCAACGAGAGAGAAAGAGGGACAGAGGGAACAATGCCACAGGTAAGTAAATACATAAATATCTGTTAGATATTCAACTTCTTCCTGGGAATTGGCTTATGACATATATTTGCTTAGAAAAGTACAATCATTAAGTTTGCATTATCAGCAGAAGTGGAAGAAGTACTTAGATCTTGTACTTAAATAAAATTAGAACAACTAAAATGTTGGAATACTCTGTTAAGTAAAAGTTGTGCAATCAAAATGTTACTCAAGAAAAGTCATAAAGTATTAGCATCAAAATATACTTAAAGTACCAAAAGTGAAAGTATTAATTATGCAGATCGGCCCATTTCAGAATAATGTAAATGTTATGATTTGATTATAACTATTAATGCATTCATGATTAGAGGGTTATTAAAGATGGTAAAGATACACCAAATTGTAACACAATTTTGCAAAGTTACATTTGCAAAGTTACTAAAGGTATTAAATAAATGTAATGGAGTAAGGTATACAATTTACCTCTGAATTGTAGTGGGGTAGAAGTACAAAGTAGCAACACATATACATTCTCAAGTAAAGTGCAGGTCTCCACAAAAGTGTACTTCAGTAGAGTACTTGACCAAATATTCTTACTTAGTTACTTTACACCACCGGTCATCAGTGATGTTTACACGTTGTGTAGTGAAGTGAAGTGAAGAGAGATCAAATGTAATCTCACCTGTCTTGCTGGGGTGTTTAAGGACATATGGCTTCATGTCAAGCAGAAAATGGTCAAACTCAGTATCCAGCCATTCCCATGAGTCCTCATATTTGCTCATGGTGTCCTGAGGAGGAAATATGTAAACAAGAGTTAATACAAGTAACTCAACAATGCGTTACTAACTTAGGTAGCGATGCATTTGTTAGCTAGCTACATGGGATTGTTAGCAGCAAAACAGAGTGGAGATATAGCTATAAAAGACGGGTATGTTAACATGTTGTCCCTTAATTATAGCACAAGGTAACATGACAACCACTTAATCACTAGTGTTCACAAACTAGCTAACGTTAACACATCTTAGTTATTAAGGGAGTGATGCATTAGCAAACGAGCTAAAGCAAAGCCGTAAACCGCTTGTGTGGTGAGGTTTTGTCCAACCTCTGGGAACGGATACACGAAACGCTAAGGATGGCATATTGTTTATGATAATGTTAGTAGGGAGTAGAAAACGACTTACTTTTAACACTGATTTAGCCGCTCAAAATGGTTCAAAAACTTTAGCGTCCTCACTTTACGCCACATCCGGTTTCCGTGGAGACACAGCGTCTCCTTGTTACCATAGAAACTACATCACTTTTTCATTTCACTTTCCCCATGTGTGTCCTGTTGAGGCTAGTTTTTTTTTTACTGTTAAAGTTATTTCTGTCTGAAATGACTGTAGTTTTACGGCAAATTAGACGACACTATGCTATTCCTGCCAAACACATTAAGCTTTTTGATTTGCCCGTTTAAAGAAAAAAAGACTCAACTCTCAGCCCCTGCAACATTAAATCCATACAAATGATGAATAGTTGTTATGGTTGCTTCTCTGAGTCTGTTGTCCATCTGATACCTGAGATGACTCTTCAGCATGTTCAAAACACGCAATGCAGTTTAGGTCCACAAGATGGCGCCCATCAGCCTTCAGTTTGTGGGATGGTCAGCAACGGATGGATGAAATTGACGACTTGGTTTAATTCTCACTGAAAAATATAAAGCCTACATATAGCATTTTTTGTATGACACCTCACAAAATATACCAATATATTAGACAAATAACTTACTGAACCCTCATGATGAGTTTAGGTGCAACAACCTTGATACACTCTTATGTGGTTAATTAAATTAACTAATTTGTAATTGAAGGGGAATTTTCCCACAGCACGTGAAGGCAAACTTCACCGACGTCACTTTGAATGAAAAAGAAGCGCTCAGCTGTGGAGCAGTCAGAGGGAGGCGTGCGGTCTGTCAGCACACACACCAGAGCTGTGTCGAGACAAGGACTCCACAGAAATCGGTCGGGAAAACAAGTTGTGGTTGTGAAGTATTTGTTTTGCTTGACCCCCATTATGGCTGACCATCTTCTACATTACAATGACTCGGCTAGTGTTGGGAACCGATTCGCCCGCAAAGGTGCTTTGCGGCAGAAAAACGTGTATGAAGTGAAAAACCACAAATTTACTGCGAGGTTTTTCAAGCAGCCGACGTTCTGCAGCCATTGTAAAGACTTCATATGGTAAGCATCCATAAAACACAACTGTCTTGGCATTCACTTGACATGTGTAACTATTAGGAATGCTTTGAGATTCTTTAACAAGTTTAATGGTAACAACCTTAATGTTATTCGAGTCTGCAGAAAACTGAAAGTTCTTTTTTTTTTAAGGCTGTCGACAGATTAAATGCAATTTGTTGCTGAACAATGCCCCTCTAATATTACTTTTTGATTTTTGTTGCAGGGGATTTGGAAAACAAGGATTTCAATGCCAAGGTAAACCACTTGCATGTGTATTTTGGTACATTTGTTACCAGCAGATTCAGATACCAGTGAAGCAGGATGTCACAATTTGGCTTTTTCACCCAAACAGTATCCCTGAACATATCAGAAAAGTTGAGGGTGCTTGGTAAACAGTTGTCGTCTTGTTTAATACATTTTCTTTTTAAATATACACTCTGGCTTAGTCTCAATTTAGGAATCTGAAAGGGCGTCAAGTGATTTCAAGAGGAAAAACTGGAGGTTGCATATCAAATCAGACATGAAAATAGAGCCCACACAGCAAGAAATGTAAAGTTTCAAAAGTTTTATTTTGTTTCTTTGGGAGGACATCACATTCTGCAAGCAAGAAAGCAGGTGTTAATATTTGAAAGACAGTTATCTTTGAAATGTCAAGGTTTCAAACATTTACCTGCAACTTCCAATTCAAAAATCCATGTTGGTTACCATTTGGTCCTGAAAGGCAAACGTTAGTTATCAGGCATTGGTTTAAACGGGCATTTAGGAGAATGAAGTTTGAAGCTGTGCACATACCTTGGAGAGTACCTGGTGTTGGATTGTCGATACTTTGCTCGCTGGTAGCTGTTTCTGGACTGGCTTATATAGCTTTGAGCGAATGGTTCACTCACTCTCTGGGGAGCAAATGCTATTCTGGGGCTAAAAACTGGTTTTGGCATCTTTCCATAATTTTGCTTTGCCTGTTGGGCCCTTTCATTTGCTGGGTTTTTGGGGAATGAGGGCCATTTTGGTGGTGGAGCAGATCCTGTTGAAGTCCCCTGGCCCGCAGCTTGACCATACCCTCCTGCAGTATTGGAAGTGTCAATATTCTCAGATGGATATTGAAAGACGTTTTCAAAAACAAGATGAGGGATGTTCCTTGAGCCACTTTCACGGGAGCCAAGGTTGATGTTCTGGTTAGCCAAACTAGAACCATTGCTTGCTGGCTTAGGCTGCCACGACTCAACGCTTGGAGACTTTGACTCTGCAGGAGCAATCAGAGGGTAGTTGGGGCTTAAAGGAAATTCAAGTGGGGTTTCAAGGTTTTCCTGGACCCAGTCTGTTGAGCTGCCATTAATAAGCCCCCCTACCGCACGAGCACGTTGTGCGTTTAGTTGAGGTGTGGCTGAACCAGAACCAGGTTGTTGGTAACTTGGGTCTTCATAATATGGATATCCATACTCTGTAATAGTAACAATTTAAATTACAGAATATATTCCTTCAGCCAAATGTGCCAATCGAGTTTAGTCACATTACCTCTTGTGATTGGTAATCCTACAGTGAAGTCACACAGCAACAGACAAATCCAGGAAACTCTGCAAGTAACAAAGAAACATGCAATTTAAAATATGTTCAAGATAATTGAAACAAATGAAGTGAACATCAATCAAATATACCTGAAAAGTGGTCCAAGAGCCATGGCTGTAAGCTGAAAAGCAGCACACCTTACTCTTCAGAAGCTATGGTTTGAGACAAGCAGCTCACTGGAGTTGAGAGTAACCTGTGTATGGTTAGAGAGCCCTCTGTGTCTCTTTTATATCCAGTTCACTTAACGAAGCCCATTGGCAGCACCTGGTTCCAGGGCAATCAGAGACCAAACCATGAACAGGTGTGACAGATAGACAACTCCTCCCATTGTTTCAGTGTGAAAGTTATCCTTTCAAACTCTGTTTTCTAGTTTTGCTTTCTTGAAGAACACTTTTTTCTTCAATAAACACCTTTCCTTACATTTGACCTAGCATTTTGCACATTGTAGCAGCCAAAAGGCTTGTAGTAGATTTTCGCCTAATGCTTCTACAGGGAGTCAGTGTGCCCTGAAACCAACACCATGTTGCCAACATCTTTGCTAGTATAACATTTCACCCTAAACATCTGATACTGTGGCAGGAGTGAAAGGTATTTGCATATTTGCAAGTACCTAAATAAATATATGGCTCTAATTCCTCACACTTTCTCTGACAAGATTTGACAGCTTAGAGTAAAAACTACCAGATATTGAAAAAGGCTTTATCATCAGTTTGAAGAGGGCCCAGTCCGTAGAGCTGATGTGCATTTGAGGTATCTCAAAATGGGTGGAATGAGCAGAAGCAGAATAGAAAAACAAATAAATACTTTAAACAATCCTGTTGCTCACTGCACTACAGTGATGATAAACTCACTAGGCTAGTGTGAATCCATCTTGTGCACACTAACCTATATTTCCACCAAATGTACCAGCATGTGTATTGTTCTCGTGCTAACTACTGTCATGTAACATAGTGATGCTGCAGTAAGAAGATCTGTGGCTTTAATGAACTCTCTGCTGAAACAGTCTACCCTATGATCCAGATCCATGTAGACACGTGTCATTTACATGGGAACATTTAATATGGATATTTTAAAGTATGTTGCGCTGGTTTTCATGCATGTACACAAGGGATAACATTGTCTTGAGATTACAATTCATGTTCCTTTTTCTCTGAATGGCGATACATTTTGAATTCCTATTGAGTACAGGGGCTTAATTGTTTGACAGGGGGGCCTTGACCATGAAAGCGTCATCGAAGCAGGCTGAAAGATGCATGTTCTTGGATATACACAGGATGTTAGATGTTTTTCTTGTACAGTGTGCATGGGGAACGCATTGCTTTTTGCGTACCATATAGTGGGATCATCCCCAGAGGCCTTGATGTACAGATTTCTCTTCAAGAGATGGATGTATAATGGCTTTTGCAATTCTTGATAACATTATAAAGATGTGGGATACTGGACTGTTAATATAAGACAGATTTTATCTGTGATATTTCTTATGAGACTGTAAATATATATAAGCCCTGAATGCAGACGTGTTGATCATGCATCAAGCTAAACAAAATAAATGAAAATGTGCTCACCAGCAGGTCTTACGAGTTACTATAAGTGTGGCTCCTGTGATCATTCATATTAATTTCCCTGCATGACAGTTTATTGTTACTAAGGTGTGGACAGATTAAGGGTCGTCTGGTGTGTCCTGCTGTGCATCGAAAAACTACGCACACCACCTTCAGTTTGTGGGATGGTCAGCAATGGATGGATGAAATTGTCGACTTGGTTTAGGCAAGGCAAGTTTATTTATATAGCACTTTCCAACACAAGGCAATTCAAAGTGCTTTACAAAAAATGAAAGACATTAACAAAATGGCATCTAAAATCAGTCATTAACAAGAAAAGCTAATAAAATACACATTAAAAGAAAAAATACATGGATAAAAGTTACAGTGCAGTTTAAGATATGAATAGTTCAATTAAACATTAAAAGAAAAAATACATGGATAAAAGTTACAGTGCAGTTTAAGATATGAATAGTTCAATTAAACATTAAAAGAAAAAATACATGGATAAAAGTTACAGTGCAGTCTAAGATATGAATAGTTCAGTTAAAAGCAGCGACAAAAAGAAAAGTCTTTAGTCTGGATTTAAAAGTAGTCAGAGTTGCAGCAGACCTGCAGGTTTCTGGGAGTTCGTTCCAGATATTTGGAGCATAATAACTGAACGCTGCTTCTCCATGTTTAGTTCTGACTCTGGGGACAGAAAGCTGACCAGTCCCTGAAGACCTGATTTAATATTTTTTCTTTTTAAAAATACACTGACTTAGCCATCTGAAAGGGTGTCAAGTGATTTCAAGAGGAAAAACTGGAGGTTGCATATCAAATCACACATGGAAATAGAGGCCACACAGCAAAAGGTTTAAAGTTTTAAAAGTTTTATTGTTTCTTTGGGAGGACATCACATTCTGCAAGCATGAAAGCAGGTGTTAATATTTGAAAGACAGTCATCTTTGAAATGTCAAGGTTTCAAACATTTACCTGCAACTTCCAATTCAAAAATCCATGTTGGTTACCATTTGGTCCTGAAAGACAAACGTTAGTTATCAGGCATTGGTTTAAACGGGCATTTAGGAGAATGAAGTTTGAAGCTGTGCACATACCTTGGAGTACCTGGTGTTGGATTGTCGATACTTTGCTCGCTGGTAGCTGTTTCTGGACTGGCTTATATAGCTTTGAGCGAATGGTTCACTCACTCTCTGGGGAGCAAATGCTATTCTGGGGCTAAAAACTGGTTTTGGCATCTTTCCATAATTTTGCTTTGCCTGTTGGGCCCTTTCATTTGCTGGGTTTTTGGGGAATGAGGGCCCTTTTGGTGGTGGAACAGATCCTGTTGAAGTCCCCTGGCCCGCAGCTTGACCATACCCTCCTGCAGTATTGGAACTGTCAATATTCTCAGATGGATATTGAAAGACGTCTTCAAAAACAAGATGAGGGATGTTCCTTGAGCCACTTTCACGGGAGCCAAGGTTGATGTTCTGGTTAGCCAAACTAGAACCATTGCTTGCTGGCTTAGGCTGCCACGACTCAACGCTTGGAGACTTTACAACATTGGATGTGGAAGATGGTGCAGGCTCAAAGGCGGCTTCACGAGTAAACACCACAGCTGGATAAGCAGGCATACCATTTGTAGAAGGACTTTGTACAGGACTTTGCTGAGAATTTGCAGGAGCAATCAGAGGGTAGTTGGGGCTTAAAGGAAATTCAGGTGGGTTTTCAAGGTTTTTCTGGACCCAGTCTGTTGAGCCGCCATTAATAAGCCCCTCTACCGCAGGAGCACGTTGTAGGTTTAGTTGAGGTGTGGCTGAACCAGAACCAGGTTGTTGGTATCTTGGGTTCTTGGGGAATGAGGGACCTTTTGGTGGTGGAGCAGATCCTGTTGAAGTCCCCTGGCCCGCAGCTTGACCATACCCTCCTGCAGTATTGGAAGTGTCAATATTCTCAGATGGATATTGAAAGACGTCTTCAAAAACAAGATGAGGGATGTTCCTTGAGCCACTTTCACGGGAGCCAAGGTTGATGTTCTGGTTAGCCAAACTAGAACCATTGCTTGCTGGCTTAGGCTGCCACGACTCAACGCTTGGAGACTTTACAACATTGGATGTGGAAGATGGTGCAGGCTCAAAGGCGGCTTCACGAGTAAACACCACAGCTGGATAAGCAGGCATACCATTTGTAGAAGGACTTTGTACAGGACTTTGCTGAGAATTTGCAGGAGCAATCAGAGGGTAGTTGGGGCTTAAAGGAAATTCAGGTGGGTTTTCAAGGTTTTTCTGGACCCAGTCTGTTGAGCCGCCATTAATAAGCCCCTCTACCGCAGGAGCACGTTGTAGGTTTAGTTGAGGTGTGGCTGAACCAGAACCAGGTTGTTGGTATCTTGGGTTCTTGGGGAATGAGGGACCTTTTGGTGGTGGAGCAGATCCTGTTGAAGTCCCCTGGCCCGCAGCTTGACCATACCCTCCTGCAGTATTGGAAGTGTCAATATTCTCAGATGGATATTGAAAGACGTCTTCAAAAACAAGATGAGGGATGTTCCTTGAGCCACTTTCACGGGAGCCAAGGTTGATGTTCTGGTTAGCCAAACTAGAACCATTGCTTGCTGGCTTAGGCTGCCACGACTCAATGCTTGGAAACTTTACAACATTGGATGTGGAAGATGGTGCAGGCTCAAAGGCGGCTTCACCAGTAAACACAACAGCTGGATAAGCAGGCATACCATTTGTAGAAGGGCTTTGCTGAGAATTTGCAGGAGCAATCAGAGGGTAGTTGGGGCTTAAAGGAAATTGAAGTAGGTTTTCCAGGCCCCAGTCTGTTGAGCTGACATTAATAAGCCCCCCTACCGCAAGAGCAAGTTGTGCATTTAGTTGAGGTGTGGCTGAACCAGAACCAGGTTGTTGGTAACTTGGGTCTTCATAATATGGATATCCATACTCTGTAATAGTAACAATTTAAATTACAGAATATATTCCTTCAGCCAAATGTGCCAATCGAGTTTAGTCACATTACCTCTTGTGATTGGTAATCCTACAGTGAAGTCACACAGCAACAGACAAATCCAGGAAACTCTGCAAGTAACAAAGAAACATGCAATTTAAAATATGTTCAAGATAATTGAAACAAATGAAGTAAACATCAAGCAAATATACCTGAAAAGTGGTCCAAGAGCCATGGCTGTAAGCTGAAAAGCAGCACACCTTACTCTTCAGAAGCTATGGTTTGAGACAAGCAGCTCACTGGAGTTGAGAGTAACCTGTGTATGGTTAGAGAGCCCTCTGTGTCTCTTTTATATCCAGTTCACTTAACGAAGCCCATTGGCAGCACCTGGTCCCAGGGCAATCAGAGACCAAACCATGAACAGGTGTGACAGATAGACAACTCCTCCCATTGTTTCAGTGTGAAAGTTATCCTTTCAAACTCTGTTTTCTAGTTTTGCTTTCTTGAAGAACACTTTTTTCTTCAATAAACACCTTTCCTTACATTTGACCTAGCATTTTGCACATTGTAGCAGCCAAAAGGCTTGTAGTAGATTTTCGCCTAATGCTTCTACAGGGAGTCAGTGTGCCCTGAAACCAACACCATGTTGCCAACATCTTTGCTAGTATAACATTTCGCCCTAAACATCTGATACTGTGGCAGGAGTGAAAGGTATTTGCATATTTGCAAGTACCTAAATAAATGCATGGCTCTAATTCCTCTGACAAGATTTGACAGCTTAGAGTAAAAACTACCAGATATTGAAAAAGGCTTTATCATCAGTTTGAGGAGGGCCCAGTCCGTAGAGCTGATGTGCATTTGAGGTATCTCAAAATGGGTGGAATGAGCAGAAGCAGAATATAAAAACAAATAAATACTTTAAACAATCCTGTTGCTCACTGCACTACAGTGATGATAAACTCACTAGGCTAGTGTGAATCCATCTTGTGCACACTAACCTATATTTCCACCAAATGTACCAGCATGTGTATTGTTCTCGTGCTAACTACTGTCATGTAACATAGTGATGCTGCAGTAAGAAGATCTGTGGCTTTAATGAACTCTCTGCTGAAACAGTCTACCCTATGATCCAGATCCATGTAGACAAGTGTCATTTACATGGGAACATTTAATATGGATATTTTAAAGTATGTTGCGCTGGTTTTCATGCATGTACACAAGGGATAACATTGTCTTGAGATTACAATTCATGTTCCTTTTTTTCTGAATGGCGATACATTTTTAATTCCTATTGAGTACAGGGGCTTAATTGTTTGACAGGGGGGCCTTGACCATGAAAGCGTCATAGAAGCAGGCTGAAAGATGCATGTTCTTGGATATACACAGGATGTTAGATGTTTTTCTTGTACAGTGTGCATGGGGAACGCATTGCTTTTTGCGTACCATATAGTGGGATCATCCCCAGAGGCCTTGATGTACAGATTTCGCTTCAAGAGATGGATGCATAATGGCTTTTGCCATTCTTGATAACATTATAAAGATGTGGGATACTGGACTGTTAATATAAGACAGATTTTATCTGTTATATTGCTTATGAGACTGTAAATATATATAAGCCCTGAATGCAGACGTGTTGATCATGCATCAAGCTAAACAAAATAAATGAAAATGTGCTCACCAGCAGGTCTTACGAGTTACTAGAAAGTGTGGCTCCTGTGATCATTCATATTAATTTCCCTGCATGACAGTTTATTGTTACTAAGGTGTGGACAGATTAAGGGTCGTCTGGTGTGTCCTGCTGTGCATCGAAAAACTACGCACACCACCTTCAGCTTGTGGGATGGTCAGCAATGGATGGATGAAATTGTCGACTTGGTTTAGGCAAGGCAAGTTTATTTATATAGCACTTTCCAACACAAGGCAATTCAAAGTGCTTTACAAAAAATGAAAGACATTAAGAAAATGGCATCTAAAATCAGTCATTAACAAGAAAAGCTAATAAAATAAACATTAAAAGAAAAAATACATGGATAAAAGTTACAGTGCAGTCTAAGATATGAATAGTTCAGTTAAAAGCAGCGACAAAAAGAAAAGTCTTCAGCCTGGATTTAAAAGTAGTCAGAGTTGCAGCGGACCTGCAGGTTTCTGGGAGTTTGTTCCAGATATTTGGAGCATAATAACTGAACGCTGCTTCTCCATGTTTAGTTCTGACTCTGGGGACAGAAAGCTGACCAGTCCCTGAAGACCTGATTTAATATTTTTTCTTTTTAAAAATACACTGACTTAGCCATCTGAAAGGGTGTCAAGTGATTTCAAGAGGAAAAACTGGAGGTTGCAGATCAAATCACACATGGAAATAGAGGCCACACAGCAAAAGGTTTAAAGTTTAAAAAGTTTTATTTTGTTTCTTTGGGAGGACATCACATTCTGCAAGCATGAAAGCAGGTGTTAATATTTGAAAGACAGTCATCTTTGAAATGTCAAGGTTTCAAACATTTACCTGCAACTTCCAATTCAAAAATCCATGTTGGTTACCATTTGGACCTGAAAGGCAAACGTTAGTTATCAGGCATTGGTTTAAACGGGCATTTAGGAGAATGAAGTTTGAAGCTGTGCACATACCTTGGAGAGTACCTGGTGTTGGATTGTCGATACTTTGCTCGCTGGTAGCTGTTTCTGGACTGGCTTATATAGCTTTGAGCGAATGGTTCACTCACTCTCTGGGGAGCCAACGCTTTTCTGGGGCGAGAAACTGGTTTTGGCATCTTTCCATAATTTTGCTTTGCCTGTTGGGCCCTTTCATTTGCTGGGTTTTTGGGGAATGAGGGCCCTTTTGGTGGTGGAACAGATCCTCTTGAAGTCCCCTGGCCCGCAGCTTGACCATACCCTCCTGCAGTATTGGAAGTGTCAATATTCTCAGATGGATATTGAAAGACGTCTTCAAAAACAAGATGAGGGATGTTCCTTGAGCCACTTTCACGGGAGCCAAGGTTGATGTTCTGGTTAGCCAAACTAGAACCATTGCTTGCTGGCTTAGGCTGCCACGACTCAACGCTTGGAAACTTTACAACATTGGATGTGGAAGATGGTGCAGGCTCAAATGTGGCTTCACGAGTAAACACCACAGCTGGATAAGCAGGCATACCATCTGTAGAAGGACTTTGCTGAGAATTTGCAGGAGAAATCGGAGGGTAGTTGGAGCTTAAAGGAAATTCAGGTGGGTTTTCAAGGTTTTCCTGGACCCAGTCTGTTGAGCCGCCATTAATAAGCCCCCCTACCGCAGGAGCAAGTTGTGCGTTTAGTTGAGATGTGGCTGAACCAGAACCAGGTTGTTGGTAACTTGGGTCTTCATAATATGGATATCCATACTCTGTAATAGTAACAATTTAAATTACAGAATATATTCATTCAGCCAAATGTGCCAATCGAGTTTAGTCACATTACCTCTTGTGATTGGTAATCCTACAGTGAAGTCACACAGCAACAGACAAATCCAGGAAACTCTGCAAGTAACAAAGAAACATGCAATTTAAAATATGTTCAAGATCATTGAAACAAATGAAGTAAACATCAATCAAATATACCTGAAAAGTGGTCCAAGAGCCATGGCTGTAAGCTGAAAAGCAGCACACCTTACTCTTCAGAAGCTATGGTTTGAGACAAGCAGCTCACTGGAGTTGAGAGTAACCTGTGTATGGTTAGAGAGCCCTCTGTGTCTCTTTTATATCCAGTTCACTTAACGAAGCCCATTGGCAGCACCTGGTCCCAGGGCAATCAGAGACCAAACCATGAACAGGTGTGACAGCTGGACAACTCCTCCCATTGTTTCAGTGTGAAAGTTATCCTTTCAAACTCTGTTTTCTAGTTTTGCTTTCTTGAAGAACACTTTTTTCTTCAATAAACACCTTTCCTTACATTTGACCTAGCATTTTGCACATTGTAGCAGCCAAAAGGCTTGTAGTAGATTTTCGCCTAATGCTTCTACAGGGAGTCAGTGTGCCCTGAAACCAACACCATGTTGCCAACATCTTTGCTAGTATAACATTTCGCCCTAAACATCTGATACTGTGGCAGGAGTGAAAGGTATTTGCATATTTGCAAGTACCTAAATAAATATATGGCTCTAATTCCTTACACTTTCTCTGACAAGATTTTACAGCTTAGAGTAAAAACTACCAGATATTGAAAAAGGCTTTATCATCAGTTTGAGGAAGGCCCAGTCCGTAGAGCTGATGTGCGGTATCTCAAAATGGGTGGAATGAGCAGAAGCAGAATAGAAAAACAAATAAATACTTTAAACAATCCTGTTGCTCACTGCACTACAGTGATGATAAACTCACTAGGCTAGTGTGAATCCATCTTGTGCACACTAACCTATATTTCCACCAAATGTACCAGCATGTGTATTGTTCTCGTGCTAACTACTGTCATGTAACATAGTGATGCTGCAGTAAGAAGATCTGTGGCTTTAATGAACTCTCTGCTGAAACAGTCTACCCTATGATCCAGATCCATGTAGACAAGTGTCATTTACATGGGAACATTTAATATGGATATTTTAAAGTATGTTGCGCTGGTTTTCATGCATGTACACAAGGGATAACATTGTCTTGAGATTACAATTCATGTTCCTTTTTTTCTGAATGGCGATACATTATTAATTCCTCTTGAGTACAGGGGCTTGACCATGAAAGCGTCATAGAAGCAGGCTGAAAGATGCATGTTCTTGGATATACACAGGATGTTAGATGTTTTTCATTTACTGCAGTTTTCTTAGAATTTCTGTACATTAAATGTAATCTACTTTATATCCAGTCACCGTAGCGACCCTACAAGCTGTGACTCACCACAATATAATCAAGAACCTTGTAAAAAGTATACCTTACAATTCACTGTACATTATACACAGAACATTGGTTAGTGTGTACATTTGAGATGCATGCAGTGTTTTCTTTGGCTGTGACATGGTTCACTGTGGAGAATATGCAAAAGTGATACATCCTGTCATATGGACATGCTGAGTTAAATCCCATACACCCATTACAATTACATACTCGACTTGGACGTCACTACCCTTTCCTTTCCTCCCTCACGCTGTGCATATTATACAGTATTTTCTTTAGTCCCACTCACTCTCATTGTGTGTTGGTTGTATTTTTTTTTAAACAATTTGTGCATATACTGTTTGAAAAAGGGAACACAAAAAGTCTGTTTATCCTAAATCTTATTAAGAAGTAAATGTTATATTCATTTAATTAATTAAGATTAGAAGCCATATTTAAAAAAAGTGAACCATGACTTCTTGTGAAGAATGCTAATTGAACTTAAAATGTTTCAACGCATGTATGTGCCCCTTGCCACTGGAGAATTACCTTTTTTTTGTAAAACTATTACAATATAAATATATTGAAATGATTGTCTAAACGTTATTTGTAAAAGTGAGATGATTAGCGGCATGTACAACATATGTATTAGGTTAATAAATTCTCCCCATATGTCAAAATTGGAAAATATTCACAATGGAACCACCACGTCTCACCGCAAACCCACCTTTTAGGAATCCCCAGAGTGATTGATGAGTGTTTTCATTGAGTCAAAGGATGCAGAAATAAATTATAGGTTGTTGTGTTGCAATTATGCACAGCAGATAGATGGAGGTGTTCAGCACTTCTAGCTCCATGTGTAAGTCCTATTTTAATTCCTTTTTTTGACATGAGAAAGGATAACACATGAACATGAACACTGGCTGTCAAATCCAAATATGACAAAAATATATTTGAATTACATTTCAAGTTTGACTTGTTAATTCCCACAGGAAAACCATTCCTGCCCAAATTTCACAAGAAAAAAAAGTGGTGTGAGAGAGTGTGAGTGAGTGTGTTTCAGCATTGGATTGTTTGCCACCATGTTGGATGCTCTGCTCTCCCCCCTGCCTTCCCCTCCTCACTAGCCTTTGAAATGGAGCGTCTGTGGAAATGACTGTGCCATCTGGAGAGTTGAGAAGCCATAGCTGCAAGGAGAGCACTACGTCTGGACACTAGAAAAGCAAGAGATGGAGGGAGAGGCGGTTGGGAGTAGAAAAAAAGACAAATGAGAGGATATAACAAAGTAGAGAGTGTGGAAAGAATCTGAGGAGGAGGAAAAGGTGAACCCATACGTATAAGACTACATAAACACAGGATAATTTGCTATTGAATGGGTGCAAGTGTGAGAGTGTGATGGATGATGAAGTCAAATAGGCCTTTTACACATTCTGGCTTCTTGCTGCAGAGTTTTGGCAAAGATAAAGCAAACAGTGTGACTACTCAGAGCAGATAAAAGAGAGCAGAGTGAAAACAGTGGAGGGTATTATGTCTAAGTGATGACAAAACAGGTTGTAAAATGTGGCCACGTTTGAAGGGTATGCTGAAAATCAGATTTACTTAAGCCAGTTATAAAATACTTTTTGTCTGGCCACATGGGGACAGCAGTAAGGTTGTGAGCATTGTACTGATATGGTGAACTTGACAGCAAACTGCCTATTTACACATCCAGAAGCAACATTTCATTATGTCGAGTCATGTTTCATGATGAATGTTAATCTACTATCACTAAATGTTAGCTTTTTGTTGGTGTCTACCAACGTCAGAGGAAAATGTATGTCCCTTCAGTCTATTACGTTGTAAGAAAAATCCCTTTAAAGTCAGTAAAATGTAGGTTCAATTTCCGTTATCTTAATTAATGTGAGAGTTTTAAGTCAAGGTTTAAGTGATTTAATATCAGATCATGCAGCGAATACAGTCTAAAATGACTGTAGGCCTGCACCACACACCTCCTCCACGCATGTTGGTTAGATCAGCAGGAAGATAATGACGGAGGAATGAACACATTAGAAAACAACCACGCTGTGTTTGGAGATAAAAACTACATTTTTGCCAGTTGACATCCTACTTGAAGCCCTAAGTCATACTTTGGCCTTTTTTAGAAGAGTGTATTTTTACCAGGAAAAAGAGAGGTTTAGACACTCCTATGTTTCTTGACATGTCCTTGTATATACAGTATAGAAAGAGATAACACAGGGACACTGCAGTAGATCATAGAAAAGGTATGTTTTATTAATTGTGTTTTTTAATAACCCAATGGGTGCAAGTGAAGATAAATTGTTCTGTAGTCCTTGACAGTGCATATAATAATTGTTTTCTCCTAACTAAACATCTCCCTTTGTAGACATCCAGTATTTAGCTTGAAGACATTTCAGAAGGCAAAATGTTTGCTGTCTGTTGCTCCCTATGCTGTTGGCGTGAATCATCTCCATGTTGTTTGCTGTTCTTCTTAAGTCCGCTCTCTGCTTCCATGGTGACATCTCCGTTACTGCAACCAGCCTAGTTTGTTGTTGTGTTTCGAAATATATTTGCATACCTAATGCACCAATATGCCTACTCTCGTTTCCAACCCAGTGAATATTTACTTCTTCTCAAGTGATTACGATGAGATCTTTATCATGCGCAGAGATGATGGTGTTGGGAGTAAGCTGCTCACCACTCTCTGGGACATTTGTTACCCCTGTGGGTGACATCATGTATGTGTCAGTTAGCATGACAATGGCTGACACATGTCTCCAAATAGATTGTCACTGAGCCCTAATGGCAGTGTAGGTGTTGAGCCAATCACGTCCTCTGCTCAGAATGCAACAGTGGACCTCATTAACCAATCAGTGAGCAGAAGTGTGGGGGTTTGAACACATTAGAGTAAAAGCCGGGCAACTCCTCATGGGAAACCCCAAACAAGAAATGATGCAACTGCTCCTTTCAAGTGATGCGACGCCGTGCTTTGAGTGTAAAGATAGCTTAGATATGTTTAATTAAATCCTATTGTGGGTGTTTTCTCTCTGCAGTTTTCAACCTGCCACATTAGTTGGAAATATTATTATTTTAAAGCATTGCTCTGTAAATCACTTATAATAAGTTCAAAATTTTTATTATAAAGTTAAATCTCATTAATCCTGAATGGAAGTCACTAAATTCGATTAAAACTCAATCTCAAACCTTGAACTATCTGAAAAGTATTTCAAATGGTAATCCAAAGGTAATTACAGCTAACATGAGGTTCAGAACGTGAAAAAACGAGAAAATCAAATGCTTAATCATGCTTTATTCGTAGCCGATCCCTATAATATATTTTAAATCAGTCTCAGTACAGTAAGAGCAAAACATTAAAACTACATGATGATACAATCCTTTCAGTTTCACATAAACTTAATTGTGGATATCTATTGAAACGTACCAAGCTTAGCATTACATCGTATACTGTACATGTCAGCTTGGGAGGGATTCATTTATATAGGCTGGTTGAATGTAGAGAAATCACTGACACTTTATATACAGTACATAAAAAACCCTCTCCCTGCTGAACGACATTTATTCCACCAAGAGTGGAAGCTTAGCTGGCCAGGATAATTATGTGTAATTCTGCCTCTGCTTGCCTCTGCTCCACTTTCAAAATGTCCCTTTATACTATAGTGTTGCCCCCTCCTCTTCTCTGAATCCCTTTCTTCTCCCTCCACTCCTCAATCCTCACTAGCAACACAATGTACCATCTCCATTTTGTTATATGTTCACAGCTCCTCTTTTGTGTTTTAATGTTATCAGGTTGCATTTTGAAACCACAAATATGCAAACCACAAGAAGGATTCCCAGTTTATTCAG